AGCCAAGCTCTCTGCTGGTTTTGTATGTAGTGATGAAATCAATATCTGTAAATAATTGTAAATGAGAGCATATGAAGGCTGAGGAGCTTCTGACTCTTCCCTCCTGCCTTACTTGTGAGCTGTCTCTAGCTCTGGTAACTAAGTTAACTAAGTCAATCCTCCTCCCTGTCTTCAGGGAAGAGCTGTGGGCCTCGATGTGGATGGTAGTAGAATCTGTTCAATAATTTCAGAGATCGTGTGTTGCATCTGAGGTATCTTGCAACTTCCAACGTGTTTGATGAAGAGGATTTTGCAGTTGAAGGCTGTGAAAGATTACGTTCTTGTGTGAGATGAAGCTTAAGGAGCAATTGGAACTCATTAACAAAAGCATTTGGACTTGGGTTCACATGCTCCATTGAACCTTATTAAGCTTACTGAGGGGATCTGAGTAGGTACTTTAATTAACCATGTGAAGATTAGTTGCTTTGGTGGAATAAGGGGGAAAGGTCTGAGGTGCTTGTTGCAGCAAGACAAGGCAAAATACTCATTATTTTACTTGCTTATCATCAGGCATCCGTTCAAACAGAGCCATAGCTAGAGAGTGTTACTTGAGCAAAATTCCTACTGACTTCAATAAAATGCACTGACACTGTAAGGACTTCATAATAAGATCTTTTGAGTATTAACAGATGGTCACCGACTGCCTGAAACAAAGTTGTTGGATTTTTTGTTTTGTTTTGTTTTGTTGATCACCGCAGGTATCTGGAAACTGAACAGACTTTGCCTTCTGGAAATCAAACCTGACTGTGAAACAAAGGTTTTTCATTCCCCTTTTTTATTTTCTTGCCTCAAATCCGTTAGAGAAATTATGAAAAACAGATACTGATTTGTGAAGTGCCTTATCAGAAGTCTTTGGTGTTTGGATCAGCTCAGAGCAGCAGGACTTGCCCTGGCTTGGTGTGCTGCAGGCAGCCTACAAAATGGGCCCACACCAATGTCCTGCTCCAGGAGAGCCCCAGTGGCAGTCTGGTTGACCCATTTGCTTCAGTGCAGTTGTGCAGTGCCAGCAGTAAGTGGGCCATGAAGGAAAGTGGCCTGTCTTTGTTGCTGCCATGGACTGAATGAGGAGAATATCCACTGTTTTGAAAATGTTCCTGTTAACAGTTTTTCTTTTGTGTATTTGTCAGTTTATATATTAGTTGCAGTTGTACTTTGCACAAACACTAATTAGACAGCCATCAACACTCAGGGCCAAAGGCTTACTAACAATGCAACTGTGATAGCAGTGTCTTAATTGGTTGAGTATAATTGTCATTAGGCAACGATAAAGACATCTGGGGCTCTGGAGGGAGATCAGCACCCCCTCCTCCCCTTCCCCAAATTTGTTCTGGCTATTGCTATCCAACACAGTTGAGCTTTTTCAGATGAGACCCTGTGTTTTGACCAGTTTCCTGATGTTTTTCTCCTTGTGAAATCGTCTGCCTCTTCAGCACCACTTCATTAGAGCGGTGCCCAGCCTCCAGCTTTGCCTCCTCCCACATGTGCTCGGCACTTCACCACCTGCTTCCCAGCCATGGTGGGACAGCAGCAGCTTTTAGCCCCCGTCTCCTTCGCCTTCACTCTTCTGCTTTCACTCATACCCTGTGAGAGGGTATGAGGAAGCTGTTCATCTCATTATGACATGACTGCCAGTAAAAGTAGTTGAAATGCTTTTGATTAGCAAGCAGACATTTTTATTATACTATGTAGATACCATGTGAATTTAATTTTTTCAATTTCTTTGTACCATATGCAATCCAGCTATTGCTCCGTTTCAGCAAGTTCATTTTATTCATCTGCAAAGCTTAACTTGAATTTGCAGGCTCACTTTTATGGTTGTGTAATTAGCTGCCTAAGATAACAGTGCTGGATTGCTGGGGAGAAGAAGAGAAAATAGCTAGAAAAATATAGCTCATCCTCCTGCTGCTACTTCTCACATACATATTCTGAGATGTTTAGAAATGTGAGAACCACAGCAAAGTGAAATGCAGGTCTTTTGGAGAAGTTGAGTTACTTGCATGGGGAGTCTTGGGAAAAGCAGTAGCTCAGTGCTGTTGAGTATTATAACAGTGAATACATGGTATTATTTATTTTAAGATAAGTGGGTTTTGTTTGTGTTTTTTCTCTCCAGCAGCTTTTCATAGCTATTGCAGCAAAAAAATCAGTAACTCGGTGAGGTTGGAGTACTCTGCTGTCCTGAAACAGAAGACTTAAATCTGGGAATCTTTCATTTGGTAGCTAGTAATCAGGGAAAATTTTCATGGCAAAAAAAAGATTGTTGTGGTAGGAAATAAACAGAAATACAGAAATTCTGTAGGAGTAGTTTCTGTGCAGTGCAGCAGTTTTCTTTTCCCTGGCCATCTATATTGATATGGCAGATTTGCCAATTATCTGCAATAAAGTAGCCTTTTTATTTTTTTACAGCAAGGCATTGCTTTAATAGTTTAAAAGCCTTTTGTTGTGGTTACAAATTGAAAGTGTGTTGCTCTTTACAACAGCATTAAAAGCAGGGAGTTGAACCATTAAATTTTTTAGTTCTGAATTGGATTCATCTGTATTTGAAACTCTTCCAGTTCAGTTCTGGTACAGGCCCAGTGGTGCTGGAAACAGGCATGTGGCATTGCTGGCCAGCAGAGTGAGAGATGGTTTATGTCTCCCATTTCTCCATTTTGATTCCATGCCCAAACCTGGACCTCTACTTGGGTTTCCAGTGTGATCTTGGAACATCTCTGCAAATCCATTCGGTTTGTTGCACGGGACTGAGACGCTGTCATGCTGTGCTGGGAAGGATGTGAGTGAAATGGGGTGGGAGGGGTACTGGAGGGAAGCTGCCTTACTGCCCTTCTCCCTGCTCTTCCTGATGGACCTGAGGCTTGCACTGCACTTCTGGGATGCCTGGACAACAATGCACAAAGGCACAGGCTGGTTCTCCTGGCACATGGAACACTCCATTCTGATGGTCTCAGTAGGCCAGGTTGATGGTTGGATTTGATGATCTTGAAAGTCTTCTCCAACCTAGATGGTTCTATGATTCTCTATCAACACAGATAAGAAATGGGTGTTATGACTGCAGTCTTCTTACATATTACTCAGTAATATCTGAGTAAACTTATTAGGGCATTCCTGAGGTACACCTAAAAAGCTCTTTTGTTGACAAGTCCGTGCTGAGGGTGGGAGAGCAGCACAGCTTTGTGGTGTCAAAGTGAAAGCTCTTCAGTGTGCATCTCTCAGTCACTAATGAGGGAGGGAGTGGGGCCTGCAACAGATAGGTATGATTAGCTGTCCTTAATACTTTTGTTATTGTATTTTATCCCCAAAGTTTGAAATCTATCTGAAACAGCAAAAAAAAAGCTTTTCAGTGTTGCAAACTGAAGATATTTCCTGTAGACAAACCTGGACAGCTTGTTTAGTCCAGAATTAAAGTTTTCGCTTTGCTTTGTCGAAGCTTCTTTCTTGAACTGTTATTTCCAAGTAGTGCTGCTGTAAATTGGGAAGAAAAGCAAGGTTTATAGAAGGATTGGGACCTTATCTGCAAAGGAGTAGGATGGAGAAGTGCCATCTCACCCAGTTCTCTCATTTTCTTCTATTTAGTGGTGTCCAGCACTGAAAAGGAAGTCTTGTCACAAGGACCCAACTCTCTTCTGAGTTCAGTACTGAGAATTAATGTACATCTCTTTGCTTAACAGTTCTCTACCACTTTGTCAGACACTCCAATTTGTTGTATAAAGTGGTACGTTTTTACCCAGAGGTGTTGGAAGTAATCTGCTCCAGAGTACCTGCAGTACCGGTGTATGGCACAGGGTGACCTGTCCAGCATCATCTGAACCTTTGTTAAGCACCTTCCTTCACCTCCTTTGTTAACACATACTTTCTTATTGTCGTCATAAATATGGGATATTGCTGCCCTGTGGAACCTCTGGGGCTAAGAAGAATTGCTCTTGAAATGATTTTCCCCCCAAAAGCAGAATAGAACAAAGCTGGCAGAGCAGCAGCCTTCATTTCCAACAGAATCTGCGTTTCAGGTATGGCAGAGAAACACAGCTGAGACTGACTGTTGTCATAGTTCTGTTGAAACTTATTTGTAGATAACTGTAGATCTGCTCCAAATTGACCATATTTTTGGTCAGTCGTATAGGAAGTTTCTTCTCAGTCTTGCCTGCAAGATGCTGTTCTGATTTTTTTTTTAATTAATAGTACACTGTGGTGCAGCAGAGGTGACACAGAACAGTTCTTGTGTTGTTGTGTTACAGCCTTCCTTCCATTAGATGTATTCAGTGTCATTTGAGAAGCTGATTCTTATTTTTTTTATTTTTTCTTCAGCAAACTGTAGTGTGCCTGGTGTTACCAAAACATCAGAAAAACTACAGTTTAAGAGAGTCTTCTGTGAAGAAGGAAGCACTGCTCTAATTCTAAAGACAACACTTAATCCTGTGAATAAATTAATTAGTCTTCAGAGATGTAGGCAACTGTGATGTGTTGATGAGGCATTAGGAAGCTTATTTCTCTAAAGGGCGGCAGGTTGGATGGATGGATGCGTGTGAATGCTTGTATGTGTGTACATAAATACTCTGATTAAACAGCCTTTCTCTGGCACAACCACAACTGCACGTTCTTTAAAGACCAGAAGGAAACAGATTGAAGTTTCACTGTGATGTAATTGACACTCATTGCTGATAAACTTATTTTTCCTGGAGCCCTGCTCCCCTTGCATTTTATCTGTAAAGCTTGCCCCGATAGTTGATAACCCATTGTAGCTCAGTGGTGTCCCCAGAGCCCCAACTTGCCTGTGTTTGTGGACTTGCTGCTGCATTCAATAAATGGGAATAAAATGAACAAAGTTGGTGGGATTGCAGACATGGAGAGAATCCATCTAGGAACTGTATATGGCATTGAGTTTTCAGACCCTTCTTGTTCCTGCTCTGCTCCCTTGCAGCTACCTCTTTTCAGATGTTTTTGGAATGAATAAAAGCTTTCTTTTCCAGATACACGTCGGGGGAAGTGAGGTTGTGGGACACGCGCACCTGGGACTACACAGCCCCCATCCTGGAACCAGTGCAGGGTCCTGGTGATGCTGGACCTCAGCCACATGTCTCCTTTGTGAGGATAAACAGCTCTCTGGCTGTAGCGGCTTACGAGGACGGTAAGTAACCACAACTCTCCTCCCTATTTAGAAGAGGGAAAAAAAAAAGCTTTATAAAAATGAAGCAGCTGTGCTCAGCTTTTTGTGTGCCCGTAATCCTGTATATACACACACGCACACTCTTGCTTTTATGTGAGAAAGTTGGCCAATAACCCTAAATGCATTAGGAGGCATTGGAACATAGCACCCATTAAAACTGATGTTTAATTCCTACTGGAACTGCTACACAAAGCTTGAGTGCCAGGCTGAAGTCCAGCCAAACTATCTTAAGCAAATAACTTGTTTTGCTATAAAAAATATTAAATATTCTTCCACTGCCATTCTCCTCTGTCCAAAACTCCCTGAGGGTACTATGAGGCTTTGTAATGGGAATAGTGGTAAACTTGCATGTCTGATTAGGCTGTGTGCTCTCTTGTGCATCCATGTGCTACGCAGGGAATGCAGCTGAAGTATTGGTTTGCATTACTGAGTTTCATACTTTGATATAGAGAAATAAAAACTGTGCCCTAATATTTAATGAAACTAATAAAATCCTGGTTTATATACATTGTTTTAAATGTACTTAAATATAAGGGCTATCAAGAGCTAGAGACCAACTGTGCATCTATTGGGCATGAGAACAGCAATTAAAAAACACGAGTTTGAACAGTGCTTGACACTTGGGGTCCTAAGCTGAAGAGTCCAGGCAGGACTCAGCTCCTCACAGCTTTCTTTAGACTGTGTGATTTGGTACTTAAACTTCTCCTCGAGTGTGAATAAAGAGGATTTTTTTGTCTGTTTCTTTTTAAGTTAAGGAGTGCTGTATGTGTGTTATCTCTGATCCTGGCACTTTGCATGTGGAAGCAAAGCCAGAGATGGGTAATCCAAACAAAATCACTAATCCTTTTATTTTATAAATAAATTATATGCTTTGTATCTGAAAGTAAGTGTTTAAGATGATCAACACTTTTAGTGGTTTTTCTAGTCTGGATTGTGCTATTTCCATTTTCTGTGGCTAAAAATTATTGATAGGCAACATTTTATGACAACAGTGAGCCTGGTATTACAAAACATGACTGTTATTTACTCAAGTCATAGGAAATTATAACAGTGATGGTTTTAACTGTTGACTTTTTTGTCCAGTGTGCCAAACAGTGAATGTAGCAGAGGCTCTTTTGTTTGCTTTCTAGTCTCCCACTGACTAATCTAATAATCTTTCCAGGTTTTTTTCCTGTCAGATTCCTTGTTGTCGGCCCTGTGTGTGCTGTGACTGCATAGTTTGCATAAAGCTCAGCGTCGTATTCTTTTGGGTAGAAATTTTAATGGGCTCTGTGATATGGCAGTTACTCTGATTTGAGAATCCTGGTCAGAATAGATTAGTTTCTATGTGAACAGGGAATTATAAATACTGTTTTTAGAAATGTTTACCAACTCGAATCTGAAAGCACATATTTACAGTTTGATGGAGAGAATTATTTTAAACTTGGAAGGAGGGGAGGGGGGGGGAATGACTTTGAAGATAATGTGTTTGATTGTTCTTTGTTGTACTCTTCCAGCTCCCTTTTCTCTTTGTTTGTAAGTTTGACTAACAGAGAGAAACCATCTGCTAGTGTTGGAGGTAGTGCTGTCAGGCAGAGAGTCTAGACTTCTCTGTCGAATCCCTGGCTAGCAGACTTGTGCAGATAACATCAGTTTCTCCCAGTTCAACAGAGCTCACGCAGCGATGTCCTTGGCACCTGATCACAGGGAAGAGCTAACAGGCAGATCCTGCTCGCACCATGCCTGCCTCGCAGCGCTGCTCTGCGCTTCAGCAGGAGCGAGCACTTCCCAAGGCATATGAGGTACAGCGAGGAAAGGCTGTCTTACCAGGATGCCTGCATCCACAGTGAATTGCATCTCCATGATGGCACTAAAGAAAAATTGAATTGTGGCTTTTGGTGAATGTTTCCGACAGCGTCAGCCTCTGTGGAACAAGCTGCAAGGAGAGGGAAATGAGGGAAAAATGTACGGGGAGAAAATGAAGTTCCTTCTGCTCATGCCAGTGCTCAGTGGGGGTACTGCATGTACACCTGGGGCAATGGGACTTGGCAACTCGATCCACAGTTGTGATTTTTGAATTCCAACCCACTGGCCTCATATTTCTTCTGCCTTGTTTCCTATTGTCAGCACTGGCAGCCCTCCAGTTTGATTTTACCACTAATTGTGTTGCACGTTACCGAACTGAAATGAATCAAATCAAAATGCTTTTCCTGGAGCATTAGATAAAGCAGGCGAGGGTTCTGGGTAATGAGCAGATGCTGCTAATGCAGGGACAGTCGGGGCCTTGCCAGGACTCCATCTGCTCCATGCTTGCCTGCCTTTGGCTGTGAGCCACAGCTTTGGGAAGCAGCGGTCTACTTTAGCCATCAGCCCTCCACCCTCCAGAGTCTCGTAGTTTGACTTGAAAACAATGTGCTGCAACAAGAAAAGTGGTTGGGTGGTGGTTTTCTTGGTTTTAAATGCAGTGCTGCATACATGTGTAGGCATGACAGGGTGATGCAGCACTGCTCCTTGTTCACAGCAGCTCTTTAAGACCTATGGGGAGAGTTGGTGGCACTTCCTAAGTTGCACAGCAGCACCTTGGGGCAGAGGAGGGTGCTTTCTGCAAGGATTGGAAGTCAGCTTGCTTCTTGGCAGCCTTTAGGAGGGGAATTTTGACAGTGCTTTCTGGGACAGGGAATCTGCTGTCTTGTCCATTCTGGTGTCCTTAGCACTGCTTGCAGGCGTTGTCCCTACTGTGCCCTGCTTGCAGATACAGAAATGGAGTGATGTGGTGGGAGTCTTCTCCCAAGCACCATGGAGTGCTAGGCAAAAGCTACAGTAGGAGGCAGGCTGCCTCAAATTAAGGAAAGTTTTTGGGTTTGGGAGTTGTTTTTTTTCTTTTGTTTGAGGTTTTTTTGTTTGTCCTTTAAACAAAGCATGTATCTATAGGTGTACCTTTACATTTATTCCTGAGAGCTGTGTGCAGGTGTCTGTGGATGCATATCCCTGGGTTTGGCTCCATGGTGCATGATTTCACCTCCAGGCCAGGGATGACAGCCTCCCAAGTCATTGAGCTGGGAATGGAGGAAGTGAAGGACAGGCATGCAGCTGCTTTTGCAGGATGCCCTTGTGCTCCCAGGTATGAAGAGCTGTACTGGAGGCTGCTGCTATTACTGAGGAACGACCCCAGCCCTCCTTTGTGACAGCAGGAATGTATGCAGTGCTGCTGATGTTTGCAGGAATGGACTACAGCAGTGCGTTGTGTGAGGTGTAATAGACCCATAGTTAAATGTGTTACCCAAATATCCTGCAACATAGAGTCAGTTGCGATAACTGGACCTTTCCCCAGACCACATTTCAGCAATATATGTGGTAAGTTACAACCCTACATCCTTTGTACAACCTGGGCTGAAGTGACAAATAGAAAGACCAGTAACGTCAAGTGTCTGCAATTGCACCATTTTCAGCAGCCTCCTGCACTTAACTCATTTCCTGAGCCAAGACAAAGCTCTGCAAAGTCCAAATTCCAGGAGTTATTGTTGGAGTTCACTTAATATAAACACAGTTGCCATGCAGATTTCAGCCTGCTGTGAAATTATTACGTATAACTTTGATTTAATGGCTTTCAGTACTCAAAAAAAAAAAAAGAAAAAAGAAAACACGCATGTGCTTGCAGCCTTAACTTCACCTTAGCAAAGATTTCTGCTTTGGAAATGAAGTACTAGTGAGTGCTGGAGACAGGAAGATAGACTATGTAAAGCAGTGATCTCATCTGCACTGGTAAATCTTACGCCTAATTTTTTCTGTGTTGCCATACTGATATCTTCAACTGTAATGGTGATATTTTTGTGCTATTACACAAACGAGATTAACTGTTGCAAAGACTTACATACATACTAATAAATACATTTTGCCTTCAATGAAAAGCAGAGTACAGAATGCTGTAAGTAGCACTTGTAGAAGCAGTAACAATTTTACCTATTGATAAATACAGTGGAGTGCTTGATTTTCCAGTGTAGGAGTTGTTCATGTTGAAGTAGTGGTTCATCCCAATGAAATAAAGTGGTATTTCTCTTTGCATTCCATTTGAATTCTTTTCACTCCTTGTGTTGACTTATGACCTTACAAGTCAGTTGCTTTTTGGTAGCACCAAGGATATTTTCACACCATATTGTGCATCAGCTGCTGCAAACACCGTATTGTGAAACTTTCAGGTGTTCTGGACAGAGATGACTATTGAACATTTGGTAAAAAGCCGTATACCTGCCTTGAACAGATTGTATTATTGCACAACGTGCTTCCACTGTCCTCTCATTTGTGATGCAGTGACAGTGGATTTGCTGCCCGCTTTGGGGAGCAGAACCCCTAAATGCCAGCTCTCCCTACAGCACCGCGTGCATGCTGCAGGCCAGTGGTGTGTTGTTCAAAACCAGTTCAGTGGTTATTTACCTTTCAAGCAATTAACATAATTACCATTATGCTAAGAAGTAATTTTGGGAAGTTCTGCTCGCAGCCCTTACGACTCCATCGGGACAGTTTGAGTCGGGACTTATCTCTTTGATGGAAGCCTAATTGCAGTTTTGGCTTTGTGTGAACAAACAGAGGCAGCTAATTGTTTAGGCAAATAGCAGATTAATTTAAATATGCATCCCTAATAAAACAAAAATGGTCCCCATTATGGTGCATGTTCCCATGGCGAGGAATATAAATATTCAGTGGGAGTGCCATTAGACGGGGATCTTAAGGATTATCTGCATTATTTCACATTGGTAGCACTTTCCAGATACCAAATAATCTTTACAAAAGCAAACATAAATCAATTTAAACTCATTTAGATACCATTTTGCTCTGTGCAGTTTCATTACCACACTCTTGCTTCACCTCCTCTGGGACACGGGAGGAGTGTTTGCAAACTGGCATTGGTGCCCGTCTGCAGCTGTCTGTCAGAGCTTTTATGTCTCCTTTTGAAGGAAGAGCTGTCATTAATCATTTCATCATTAATGGGCATACTCAAGTAGGAAGAAGGCTTCTCCTGCCCCGGTCCTCTTGTCATATCTGAAGATTGCTTCTCTGTTAATTCAGTGCAAAGGTGGCCTGGGAGTCTGCAATTCTGTCTGGCCCTTCTGCTCTGTAATACGCTCCTAATTGCTTCAGGTTGCTCTTATTCAGATTACTGCTTTAATGTACCGTGCTTTTAAATAGAGCATTGGTGATCTGTGCAAGGAAAATCTGCAATTGCAAATGCATTTTCTCTTGACTTGCACTCCTGTATTCTTTGAGGTTTGCATTCTTTGGCTTTCTGAAAGCTTTGAACTCTGTTTGCCAGAGTGTCATTGTTCAGTTTTGCTGCTGATTGCAAACTGACTGTTAGGAATAGTGTTAATGTCCACGGCCTGATTGCTGTGTGTGCAGAGCTTCAAGTTTTTCTTCCTCACTGTGTTCGTGTTACTTCAGTCTAAGTGTAAGAAAAAGAATTTAGGAGTCACAGCACCACAGAATCATGAAGGTTGGAAAAGACTTCAAAGATCACCAAGTCCAATCATCAAAGGTTTAGGTCCGGTCTTCTGCAAGTGTGGAAGGAGGTAAGTCAAGCAGTCTTCCTCAAGGCAGGTACCAGAGTTACATGAAAACTAAGCTGTGGGAATTGCAGAGAGCAGCACAGCCTCGAGTGCCTGTACACATCATCATTTTGGAAAGTTCCTTCTGAACCTCTGTGCTGAAATTCTGGTCCCATGCTCTAGAGTCTCTTTTCTGTATGCATACACACTGTTTTTGTTAGAATGTTTATAAACTTGCATCTTTAGATGATCTTACAAGATTTTCTTAAATTCTCACGTGTGTTTGCTTTGTGTTTGTATGCAGGTACTGTGAGTGTTTGGAGCTTGATGATAGGGCGCGAGCCAATCCATCGCTACCAGCATAACCAGAGGATACACGCTTTAGCTCTGGGTTCCAAGGGTGCAACAGTAGCAACAGCATCTGGCTTTGAGGTCAAGATGGAAAGCCCTGATGACAGGGGATTCTGGCAAACTACAGGAACATTCGAAATCCAGAAATTGGTGAGTCTCCAGATTGCCCAGCTTCATTCCAGGAGCTCCTGATCTACTAATTATTTTTGGTATGGTTAAGAGGGATCTTTTAAAAATCTTATAGGAGTGTTGTGTGAGCTAGATAACAGCATTATCAGATAGAGGCAGTGATTCTGTAGCAGGTTAATGGATGAACCTTTCATTACTGAAGAGCAAGGGTGCAATGCTGGCTTAAGCTACAAGTGAAAATGAACAGAAGTCCATATGGTGCAGGAGGTTGGCTGTTATCAATTATTTTTTTTTGTCAACATTAAGCTAAGTTGGCTCATCTTGTAAATCAGTTTTCTCGCATAGAGTTGGAGCTAAAACTCGAGGTCTCATTCCAGATCAGCGCTATCTGATTAATTCTGAGGCAGGATATTGCAGACGAGCTAATAGTGTCACTTGTGAAGCTGTAACTAGTTGTGCAGCTCCTTCAGGTTGCACCTTCTGTCACTGAACTTTTGTGGCTGTTTTAATTAAAAACCAAAAGTGATCCCATTCTCTGAAGTTTTATTATGGCTCAGTGTGTCAACCCTTTTTGAAATGGGGAAGGAAGTGTGTAAGAAAAAATGGAGCCTTGCAACTTTTCTTTTGCAAAAAATCAACTGTGCAGCTAATGGGTATGAAGTCAATTTAAACTATTCCTGATTCATCCCCTCTTTCAAATCTGTCAGTCCTACAGTACTTAAAAATAGACAAAATCCCCAAACATTTGAAGAATTTTCCTAGTAACAGTGTTAAAACAACACCCTCTCCCTTGTAGTTGGATCCATGCTGTCTGTAAGCTATGTTCCATCATAGGAGATAATTTGCAGATATTCTGAAATAAAGTTAATGCTCAGACTTCTGAAAGTAATTTGTAACTGGGATGGTTCAAGATCACGGGCAATCTGTGCATCAGTAGCTTGTTCAGTTTAACATATCACAACAGACATTTAAAACAGTTTTTATCTGCAATAAAAATGAAGTCTGCTCTTTTTAGGTGAACTTCCTCCATCTGGTTCCAGAGGTCTGGGACAGTCCGGTGGCAGTAGCAGCTGCAGAAGATGTTGTCTATCTGCTGAAAGTAGAAGACCCTGGGAAAATCCTTCATTCTGTCTATGGTCAGCCTGTCACATGTCTTGATGTCTCTGCTCATGAAGCAGCCTTTGGGGTCAAAGGCTTTGGCTGGATACTGAATGAGCCCAACCAGGTATTTAATGCTTTCTGTCATGCTTTTGCACTTGTTTCATGAAAAAATTGTGCTTAGGATCATTTTCCTCTCTACTACTGAGCTTTTTTTTTTTTTTTTTTTTTGGGTGGCAGTAGATGTAAAGTATACTTTCAAGTGTAGTAATGTGTTGCTAATTTCTAACAGTAAGCTGAAGGGGTTACTGTTCAGCTAACTGGGTTCATTGTGTAAATGCTTTGCATTCTCTGCTCCTCAGTCCCAGCTGTATGCTGCACCAGCAGTCCTCTAGGGGGAACTAGTCTCAAAAAAAAACCAAAACCAAGAAGAAAACAATCCAAAACCTGAAAAAATAAAATAAACAACCTCCGCAAAGAAACAAAAAATACACATACACTCTCCAGCCCCTGTGGTGAGGACCAGAGCTGTGTGCTGAGCCCTGCACGTGCTCATGTGCAGTTCTGGGGGGAGGCTTTTTTCAGTGTGTGCACTTGAGTGCGTGAGCTAAGTTACTTCTAAACTAGTGAGAGTGGTGTTGCTGCTGCATTAGAGGAAGCTCCATGCTGGTTGTAGATTTGAAGCCTCTGTGACCCAGTCAGATATTTCATCAGCACATCTTGTCAGCGCCAAGGTAGATGAAAACTGCACTTATTTGGTAAGTGCTGAAGACTCATGGCTGAGGCATTGTTTTAATGCAGCTGTCAAACTTTTCTGCTTGCAGGATGGGCTGTTGTGGGGTTCTTGCATCCCAGAAGGTAACAGAAAGAACTGTGTATCTCTCTGGCTCAGAAACCTGCTCCTGGGTGCAGCCCCTCCACTGTGGTGCACCTCTCCAGGGCAGGGAGCAGGCTGCAGGCAGACCTCTTTCCAGTTGCCTTGAGAAGTGTTTCTGTCCCTTTCTTGCCCAACTTGACCATTGCTTAAATCTGTAATGTTTGTGGCTGTGCTGCAGCACACAATAGGCCATCAGCTGAGTGGAAGAGGAGTGTGCCTGGGCAGGTAGAGGTGAGCATCCAGTAGGTAGGAGCTGTGGTCTGTACGAGAGTTTTCTTTGGCAAGTGACTTAAACAGGAAGGCTTTATTTAGGAGTAGTTCGTTAGGGATAAATTTCTCCACCTGCATCTAATTCCCCACAAAATTCACATTCCCAGGGGAAATGCAGAGCCCACCATAAACACCTCTAGGGCTGGGAGGTGCTGCGAGACTGTGCCATCTTTCTTTATTCCTTTGCTGTCCTAATCCAACTCTTTTCCCCACAGAGGTGGGAGGTTAGAAGGTAAAACTGCCTTGTTTACATTACATTGGCAGTCATCTTTGTGCCTCATAAGGGAGCAGAGAAATCTCCATAGCCACAGAGCATTGCTCGGAACAGCCGGACACATCTCCTTTAGCCCTGCAGTGCTTGGTGGCTGCTTGCATTCAGCAGCACATCAGCCCACATCCTAATCAGGAGATGGGGCTGCTGCTGCCCAGACGGCCGGGCAGTGCTTGACAAGGACACGTGCTTGGCATTGCTGCAGCAGCTGACATCACACCGGAAATTAATTACTAATGTCTCAGATGATAATTGCTCACCTCGCACAGACGTGAAGGGACTTTGCATTGGTTGATTACACCGGTCATGAGTTGACAATCTGTCTTGAGGAGAGCTTTTGATCTCCAAAACCTGTTCGTGGAGAATTCCAACCCCATTTGCTGCTGGCTGTGTTGCTGTGGTAGAAAAGCTGTTGCCTCTCTGTTTGGGTTTTCTTTGTTTTTCCTGAGGGTTTTTTTTTCTTGTTGAGTGTCGGCGCATGAGCCTAACATTACTGAGTGGTAACCTGCTTTCTGAAGGCAGTGCAGGCAGGGAAATCGTTTCTGTCCCTCTTTTTTTTTTTAATCATTGTCTAATTTTAACCAAATCTGACAGCAGAGCAGAGATCTGAGGCATACATTTTGTAGGCACTTTTATGTTGGAAAGGAGAAAAACATCAAATCCACAGCATAGATTTACCTCTTGTTAGATGATAGACATCCGTGCAGGAGAAGGGAGGAACAGAAATGCTTCATCTGTGGGAGAAAGTTCACCTCCCACCTCAGTAAGCATCTGTCAGCCTGAGGATGGTGCATATTGAAAGTTGTCTGAGTGCTCCTCAACCCTTTTTTGTTTTCTTTTTTAAACCATTGAGCTAACAGGAATTTCTTTATTAAGGGATATTTCATCTATATTAAAGTGCAGTGTATTGTTTTCCTTAAGTACTAAATCCAAACACTGGGGCCCCTGGCTTATGGGTGGGTAACAGAGTACAGAGCAGGCGATGTACTGCAGGCTGGTGTTGCACAGACAACACGTTACCCATGTCGTGCTGCTGGGAGAGCTCAGCTGTTCACCTGTTTGCACACTGTATGTGAAACTATTTTCTAATTCCACGGGCATCCATAGTTTTAATCTGGAGGTAGTTCTGGTGCTGTTCATGCCAGGATGTCTGAACTGGGCAGTAAGGATTAACTCTGTGATCAGATTTCTGGTGCATATATCTCACTGATGGAGTGAAGCTTTTCTTATACATTGTATATTGATAAGCTTCCCTGCATGGAACTTCTATCAAGTAAGTCTGGACTCCCATGACAAGCCCACATGAGCTCTGTCCTACCTGTGAGTTCATTCAGTGAGATGTACAGGTGCTTTATTCTCCTGATGGAGAAGAACAAAACACACACACACACACACCCCAGAAAAAAAAGAAAACAAAAGCCACTCAACTTTCTCCTGCATTTAAAGCTTAGTTGAAATCATTTCATGTTTTTGGCAATTCTTGTTAATTACCTTCTATCATCGTGGCAGGATTTTATTTTTGCACAACCTTCACCATTATTTCGGATGGATGAGGGTGGGAGGAGGGCAGTGTGGCATCTGGGCCCCCATGTCACAGGCAGAAGGGAGGTGTGCTGAAAGCAGTGCCCTGGGAGCTGTTTGTTCTGCTGTCATGTTTTCATCTGCTCTGAGCTGATGATTGGCTTGTGCTGATGGATGCTGCTCAATATCACCTGTCTCTTCTCATCAGCCATGGAAACGCTGCCTCTTTGTGCACCTGTATTTAACATTTCTGCAGAGTTCTTCAGCTGCCTGCTAACGTCAGTTTATCTGAACTGGAGTTATGTGAATAAAAAAAAAGTAGAAATCAGAAGTTGTAAAATAATCCTGTCAATTGAATCTTGTAGTTTAGTTTCCCTTGGGTGATGTTTTTAGGTCACAGATATTCCACATTAACCTTTACATCTTTACCCTCTTTTAACTGAATTCCTTTTCTTTGTGCACAGTGATGTTGTGTGGTCTCTTCTGGTGTCATCATGTCTCCAGTTCCGGAGATTTCAGTTTTCTGTGAGTGCTTTTCAGTTTTCTTAGCCAGCACAAATCCTGTAAGCAGTTTCATCTTTCCAAACTCTTGTTGTCCTCAGTTGCTGAGGGCTGAAGGGGACAGGAGGGATGTGCCCACCAGTCAGGCACTGTGAGGAGCACAGCCCTGCTGAGAGAGCAGGAGTTTTCTTTGCCTTAATTTTGCAGGATATATCACTAAACCTCTGTCTCACTGAAAAGTAACAATAATCCACCTTGGTTTCTCTTTGCTTGCAAATGACCAATAATCATTTTGCAGCTTGACAAATAAAGCTCTTTTCTCCTGGCTAATGTTAATGACATTCAGGTTGGTTTTTTTTTCCTATTCACACATTAATATGAATACCTCAAAATTGGCACAGCTTCTTTGGTGGTGATTGTCTCTGCTTTTGAAAACAGAGCTGCTGGGATGTGCCATGTTTATTCCAGGTGCTAATCTATGAAACCAAAGCCATTCATTCAATTTTTAAGGACTACTTTGCCTTCCTTTCACCTGCCCTCTCCTTGGCTTAGGGAAGGAGTGCTTCCAGGCTGGTGCTTGTGTCGTGGTGGGTGGTGACTTGACTTTCATCTCTGGATACCTGAACTCTTACATCAGTCTTCAGCCATGAGTTAAATGAGCCCGGTGCTCTCACCGCAGGTCCTCGCAGACATCTGTCAGCACCACAAACCCATCGGCTCTGGCAAAGCTCTGGAGCTGGCAGTCTGTGCCCGGGATGTGTCCAGTGCTGGAGCAGCAGCAGGGGTTGCAGGTGCATTGGCAGAGCTGCCTTCCTGGGGTTTGTGCACTGCCTGGGCAATGCTTGGCTCTGCCTCTTGCCACCAGCATGCAGCCTTACTTGTGACTCCAGTCAAAGAAAAACTTACAAGGAAGAACTGTCCTGTGCTTGTCTTTAGCTTTGTATGTAACTTGGGTGGCAGCTGTGGCTGTTTGGAGGAGCAGGCAGCGTGTTTGGCTGGCGGCTGGGTTTGCTGCAGACTTATTTTTGTAATTCTCTGTGCAGGTCTTGAAGCATTGCTGAAGGCTGCTTGGTGCAGTAAGTGCACGTGAAATAAGAGTTCCTGCTTGCCAGCAGAAAGTCACCTTTAGGATGGCATGAAAGTCAATTTTCCACATGCTCGGAGAAATGTTGTTACCAGCTTCACACAATGACTTATATCTGGCAAGAACTTGCAAAATAGTCTCTCTGGCTGATTGTCAAAAATTACATCATATTGGAGTAAACTGCTTTTAAATCAAACATCCATTATTCATGTATATTAACTGCTTTTTTAATTTTTTTTTCTTACTGGCTGTTTTGTGTATGATTTACTCTTTTTCTTTCTCTCTGATTGTCTGTCCGTCTCCCTCATCTGCTCCTTTTAAATCTTAGCTCATCTTTAAATTTATGGAGCCAGCACACTTATCTCTGTGTGCAAGTACCAACATGCTGACCTTGCATTTGTTAGCAGGCAGATTTTGTTGTTGCTGTTGCAGTGTTACGTGCCATATTTACAGTAGGCAATGCAACACATTTGCAGTAGGAAACTGCACCTCTGAGGCTTGTGAACCTTGAAAATATTTTTTCTGCATCCCTTTAGAAATAGAATTCCAACTTGCAGCCGTGTGCTGTACTTAATTTGATGGCTTTTTTCACAAATGCATATGGAATAGCCCTGTCACTTCTGTGCATATCCTCTGAATGGAACGGTTTTAACCTGAGCAAAAGCCAGATCCCTTCTTATCCATTGTGGACTTGAAATGTCACATCCCCATCTCTTGTTGGTAATATTTGTGTGTATTCAGGCAGTGTTCCCTTGGGTTGGCACAGGGATGGGCAGGAGAAAAGGAGGCAAAACAAAATCCTAAAATAAATATAGACAGTTTTGGAGTTCTTGTTTTGATCCTCTGCTTACTGCTCTCTGCAGTCAATAGTTAGAAACCTCCATCCAGGCAGTTACTGAGACAGCAGTCCTTGAAGGCATCCTGTGTTATTCAGTAAGGGCAAAGATGTAGGCTTTGGAAGCACAGCTTTACAACGTGCTTTTTTCCTATCTAATACTTCATCAAAATAAGAATGAAGTATACTATATACAAAGAGTTCTTCCCCCCCATTCCAAGGGGCAGTGCATTTACCAGCCCAGAGCTGCAGTGACTCAGGACAAGAAGCAGAAGCATGGTTGCAGGGGAGGCACACGGTTGCACAAAGCAGCTTTCTGCTGGCCTGCAGCCAGGACAGTGGGCTGAACACCCCTGCTCTTGCTGAAAATACCACAGGCTCTTTGATAACAAGTGCTCAGGGATTTGTTGTTTTAATGTTCCATCCAAAAAAGACATCTCCAACAACACAGGATCCCGAAACACCTGCTGGGGTATTGGACATACATGGAAGAGTTCCATCAGCAGCATTTCCTTCAGTTCCTTGGTTTTTCTTGGAAGTATCTCAACCAGAGTGCACAGAGTATGCTTGACCTCACTTAGCTGCAAGATGGAACGAAGCTCACAGCTTAGCTATCCTGGCTGCAGGGACTTTGTGAATTAATGTACCCTTCTTTCTTCAGTTCTTGGACAGCATTTAAAGAGAGCTTCCTATACCCACCGATGTGCAGCTCCTGGAGTGCAGCAAGCTTTCCTTTCTTCCTCTGCCCACCAGTTTGCCAGTTGCTCAGTCCATCCATCCAAGGACGGTGGCCACAGGTTGAGAGTTGCCCAACTCAAGCAGTAAGGAGGGAAATTAGTCTAATGCACTGCCTTAACAAAAGAGAGTATGAGCATGAATAATTAATACCACCAGTCTGTGGCAATCGGATAAAATGAAGTCCCATTTGCTCAGCCTTATTAAAAGAGAGAGAGAGAGAGGGAGAGATGGTAAAGGTCGTTAAGGGACTTGTAACATGGAAAGAATCGCCTCTGAGATGGATAATGTGTTTTCTAATCTCTGTGGTCTTTAACTAAACATAATGGTAAAGGTACTCTAGCTATTTCTGGCTTGTTGAATTATTAAGCATTCTGGGAGATTGCTTGGCTCTCATCCAATAACTTAGACTTTTTCATTTGAACAATGTTAATAGGTAACGCTTTTTATTTTGTGCATTAGATCCTGATACATCTGCACAGAGTATTTAATGCTTTTCCTCCCCTGTGCCCCAGAAGTCCCATGGGGGCAGGGATGCTCGTTAGTGTGCTATCCCAGGGTACTTCATTTCACACCCAAGTGCTCTTGGTTTGCTTACCTTCAGGTCTGTGACTATTAGGTCACTGGTCTTGGGTGGCCATTATAGGATTATAAATGTCTTTGAAAGGGTAATCCCTTTGCAGTGTGCATTATAGGATTATAAACCTCCTAAAGATCTTATGCTTTATCTGCCCTTTAACATACAGGCCCTTATTTCAAGTCCCTATTGACCAGGTATTTCATTCTTTCTCCTTGGCCTTTGTAAAGAAAATCCTCGTTGCTGTGGGATACTAAAGAAGAGCTCATCAGAGGTGTTCTAGCATCTTCAAAATTGTTATCAGTATGCTTTTAAACCTCTGCATCCAAGAAGTTATTCAGACCTCAAAACGCATTCTGTGCTCCTTTTCTTTCTTTACCTACCGGTTTGTCAGAGCAAGGTTTTGAAGTTCATTTGCAGGCCAGGACAGAAGTTCAATTGGAAGGTGGGTGAAAATCACAGGAAGCACCTTCCTACCAAGTGGCAGGGCTAGTTGGTTAGAAATGCTCATCTGCATTATACATATTTGTAAAAAGCAATCTTTCAAAGACTGGAGACTGACATGAGAGGAGGAGGAATTGAGGAAGCATAAAACAAAAGCTTTTATAGCAGCTTTGTGGATCTGAAACATTATTTCTACAGATTCTGATAGATGCAAACATTTTGGAAGTGATGGGCAGCAGCATGTAGGGTGAGGAGAAACCAATCACTTTTCATTTGGAGCTGCATGTAGGAGAGTATCACAGGTCTAAAACTGGGACTGCAAGCAGGAAAGGATGGAACATCTGCTCAGATTTTACAGCAAAACTTCAAATGCTACGTGCAAGCAATTCTTCTTTATGGTCTTTCATGGTCATCACTGTTCAAGTGTGTATCAGATGTTGATAGGATAGACAGAAGTGCTGGTCGTTTAGGTAAATTAATAGGCTATGGATGTTCATGGTAAGTGGTATTCCCAGGGGACTTTGGAGAAAGCAGTGTTTGGCCCTCTCCTCTCCAGAGCTGTGAGGCAGAGCTGGCAGGGGCTGCTTGCAGGGCACACATTGGGAGCTGCATTGTGTTGCTGTTGACCCCATCGTCTACTGTTTGTACGCTGAGTTCAGCAGTGTGTTGACTTTGTATTTTTTGGACAAAACCTCCCAAAGAGAAATTTGGTTGCAAGGCAGAGATGTTAATGCTCTTTGCACTGAGAACTCTGCAAAGTGCCTTTGCCAAAATGTTATTCACCCTAACTTTGGTTAGGGAGGTGGTGGGAGCTGTTCTGCGTGTGTTGTTTTTTATCTCAATGACAAACACTTTCAGTTTGTAGCAGCTACTTCATTGGAATGGAAGTTTATATTATTTTTAGCAGCTTTCAAGTCTCCCTGCAAAGGCAGAACCTCTTATTGTACAGAGATACGGTGAAATGGCTTTGGTTTTTGTTTCTTGTTTTGGTCTTAGGGATGAAAAAACACATGCTAGAAATGGTATTTGTGGCAAGCAATTTGTACAGCACTATACTATAGGCAGGTGGAAGAGGGAACTGGTTAGGAGATGATAAATGTAAGTAACTGAGTGTGTTGGATATGAGTGTCTTCATTCTAGTAGAGAACTTGATAATTTATGTGGATAGAACTCTGCGTTTCTTTTAACTGGAAGAAATGGGGGCAGGAGAAAGCCTGCAACATCTTTGCTTTATTCCTAGAGGTTTGGAGACATCCATCACAGAATGATCTCCTGCTCTCTTAATTCAACCTTTCAGATGCATCTTAAAATTGCACAGTGAGGGAGTGAAAGGGCAGACAGCATCACGTCACTGCTCTGCTGAACGTTGAAATAATATGCACTGACAGTGTAATATTTCTTAAACTGCATGAGGATGTAATCAGAAAAGCACAAGGTGAGAATGTTCACGTGGCATTGACATAGCCACGCTGGTATTGCCATGGAAACCATAAGGGTTTGGTTGTTTGTCTGATATTTTAAGTACTCTTTTCACAGTCATAGATGATTCTTTTTATTGAATGAGTTAATTAAAGGGACATCACCATGAAATGCAGTCATTTTTTGAGATCAGTGTTAAGTTGAGAACTTCACTAAGCTTCACCGGACTTTGCCCAGTATGTTTTGCTGGATCTAAAAATACTTCCTCCCCTTCATGGAAAGGCCCAAACAGATAAACCTCATCTGGCCCCACAGGAGAGACAGCGAGCATAATTAAACTGATTGCTGTGCAGCAGAGAGGAGGGTGAGCAGAAGGGAAACGACTCGTACCTCTCTTCAGTCCTCGGCGGCGTCATCCTGGATGTAGCCTAAAATCAGAGCTGTTGTTATTCCTTTCCCATCTGAGCTGCCATTTCAGATGCACTATTTCTCTTCATCTGCACAAAGCCGATTGCAGGGCCTGTCAGCACTGAGTCAGTGCACTTCTGCTCTTCAGTTTTTGCTCTGTTTGATGGAATCTTTCTGCACAGTCCATCTGTCTGAACCTTCCAAGTGCTGACTCCGTTTCCTTTTGCTATTCTTTCAAATATGCAAGTTGAAAAGCAAGTCATGTGATTTCTTTACCCGTGTAAACCCGTAGAAATTGACCTGGAGAAAATCAGTATGGCTTTATGGACTGCCTGAGACCTCTGCCTGTCTTACATGGGTTGCAAAGAGCCTTCAGCCCAGCTGTGCGGTGGGTTCCATTGTGACACTTTGATTTTCTTTTTTTCTTTTTTGAATGTGTGTTTCTGTCCTTCTTGACAGGGAGTGCCTGTATGTTGGCTGCGATAGAACAGTGAGAAACGAGTCCTGCAAAGCATCTCTGATGGTGGTAACTCTGCTCTGCTTCCCACTGCAGCAAAAGGTAGCTGTGCTCACGCTGCATTTAGCCAGTATTTGTTCTGTTTCTGCCAGGTTCTTCTTTACAACCTGGAAACGAGTCAGTGTCTAAAGAAGCTAGGCAACTCCATGGGTGACTTTACATGCGTCAACCTCCAGGACAGTCCTCCAAACATGCTCGTTACAGGCAATAAAGACAGAAGGTAGGTACTACCAAGAGCTGTAACCCTTTTCCAATTAGCTTACTTCCTGTCCTGCTGTCCTACATCTGGACCTGCTAGAATTTGTTTCTCCTCTAATGTTTCAAACGCAGCCAGCGTGAACTTCAGGAACAAAATATTAGGTAATAGTTGGACGTGGCTGCCAGTTTGCTTTGTTTCAGAAAGCTCCATGGGAAGACTTTCTTTTTAAGCCATTTGGTGGACGCAGTTGGTGTACAGCCCAGCGAGACCACTTGGAATATCTTCCACTTCCCCGCCACCACCCGCAAAATTAGTTTGGCATTTAAAAGCTCACTTTCTGATATTAAAAAAATAACCTAAGGGATGAATCATGTAGGATGAGATGGGTCCGTCTGCCAAGTGATGTCAAGAGTGTATTTCGGAACACTGTGATGTCCCTCAGGTGACAAAAAAAAAAAAAAGGAGAGACTTTCATATGAACAGATTCCAACTTCTATTTAGCTGATTAGCAGCTTTCTCTTTAACTCCTTGGCTTGGGGAGCAGGATTTTCCCTGCACAATATCTGGTGCCAGGAATGGACGCGCTGGGAACAGTCAGCGCGAAAGGATTAAAGTGCTTAAAAAGACCCTTTGAGTCCAATTTTTAGGTTTTCTTTTTTGGCTAGTTACGTGCAGGGTCTGATCCAGTGCACCAAAGGAGATGTGGGATGGCGAGGAGCCAGTCTCTAATGGCTCCTGGTTCCTTCCCTCCTCCTTTCCGCGCTGGGCACCAGGCTGCAGGTGGTGCTCTGGTGTGGATGTGGGTATCAGCTTGTAAGGCGGGTGCTTCCTTCTGCCAAATCCCAGCCCTCCATCCCGCCAGCACAGCAGCTTGCAAAAATGATTATTTTGTCAAACAGCATTTTTTTTTTTCCCCCCTTTCTCAGTGAATAGGCAGCGGAAGCAAACCTCACACTTCTTCAGCACAGGGGTAAAGGAAATATCTGAAGTTTGACATGTGTAATTGAATCCTTGGGAGTTTGCTTTTTTTTCCTCTAAAAGCATATAATTGATTTTCCAAAGCACCCTGGTAAAACTACCTGCAATTTTAATCTTTCCCACAGTGATGAGAGAGCAGATATAGTTAATAGCCCCTAAGTGAGATTAAAATGTACTCCCTTTATACCAGAGTAAATGTCTTGGCCTTTCCCCTGAAGAAAGCTTTTCAGCTGTATTTAGCTCAAGCACCAGCTGAGTTCAGGGGTTGGCCATCACTAAACCAACAAGACGTGAGGAATCAATAGCTCAGCAAATAAGTTTGGCATCCAGGAGACAGAACCACGTGTATCTCAAAGGTCAGGGTGCTGCCTGAAAGGTGCTAATACGTGTTGGGCATCCACAGGTGGGCTGGGGCCGGGATGTCCCTAGCCCTGTTATGGAGTGAGCCCCTCAGTAGGGCCTTGCCACACCACCTCTGGGAAAATGGCTTGCTGGAATTAAATGCAGCACTTGGAAAGTGTTTCTCCTAAGCACTGCTGAATGGTTTGATTACATAGCCCTGCTTCACACCAGTGCAAGATCTGATAACAGGGAGTGTTTGCTAATGCACTGCAGCCCTGTTGGTATCAGTGATTAGCATGGGGAAAGCAAGCATGGCAAGCCCAGTGTATGCTACTGCTGAAAAGTGTGGAACCAAACATGTGTTCTGTCTTCTCCCAAAGGCAACTACTGCTCAAGCAATGGAACAGGAGAGTCACAGCCTTTCACAAGAGCACCTTCCTTACAGCTCCCTTCAACTGGGATGAATCCGATGTGCTCCCACTGAGCCCAGCTGTTGAGGCAGGAGATGGAGGGCAGTGCCAGGTCTGCATTAGAGCACATTAAAGCATCACATTAGATTTGCAAAATGCTCTTTTTTTCTTCTTTTTTTTTTTATAAGCGCATCTAAGCAACTCATGTGACTTAATTCTTCCAAGGGTGTGCCAGAATGGACACCTGCCTGAAACCTGGACCCTTGCTAATGAAATAACCAGGACACATCTTGGTTTCCAACTGTGCTTACCAAATAGAAGAAGCTTTGATTGTCATACAGAACACGTGCAGCAAGACAGGGAGAGCGCCGAGTGAGCACTTCCAAAATATCCCATCCTTACCCAAAGCACAGCTCTTATTTGTAGCCAAAGGTTCTCTCTGCTGGAGTTGGAGAAAGCAAGAAGTCCTTTCCACCATCAGCAACTGTTTGGGGGGGGATTTCCCTAGGGATGAGGGCAGAGCCACACAAAGCATGCTCCTCGCTCTGTTCCAGCATGTTTCTCTGCATGTCAGATGGATGTTGCTCAGTTGGAGTTTTGGACCATTCTGCAGCCTTTTATTTCAGTTGCTGAAATGTGTTATTTGTAAAATCCTATGATGCAATCTCCATGTGAGAAAGGAAAGGGAAAGACTTGCCACACCATTAAGATCATGGCAAGAGTGTGGAACAGAATACAGCTAATGTGTTGGAACGAGAGTGTTTTGGCCTTTTTTTGAATTAATGTGTACCTGATGGCTTCATTCTTGATAGCCTTCAGCTGGGAGGAACTTTCTCTGGCTGCTTTTCAGCTGAGATCAGTATTTCCCCTTACTTCTGTTTTCACTCACTGCATTTTATCACTTTTGCTGTATCTTAATCTTGACACGTAAGGATGAGGAAACATCCTCCTTTGTGGTATATACTAGATGTAAAAAACAACACCATTAGCTTTAACTGTTTTTTATAGACCTGTTGCACAACTTGAGGTCCTCTCCTCTTTTTCTAAAGTTCTTCATTAATCATAGCCTCTCTTCAAACTGTTCATTGAGTACTTTTTGAGAATCAGGGGTGCCTGAAAACTGCCTAAAGTCACAATATAGAGAGACTGCTTATATATATACATATGTAAGCCTTTTGAGATGGTTGCTGGTGCTTGAGGATAGCTTTGTTTCAGTATTGGTGTACTCAGTAATAACTCTAGCATAGAAACCTGTGATCCCTTTGATTTTTTCTGTTGGATTTCTACACATTTAGTCCTCTGTCTTCATAGAAATAGTGTATCTTTTCTGAGCCCTTAGTGGATGTGGGATGGGTACCAAGGGATGTTAGCGGTATGCCGAGTGCATGGCCTTTATTCCTCACAGCATTTCTCACAGGTTGGAGGGCACAGACACAGATGAAATTCTCCAAATTTCATTTCTATCAGCTGTGACTAGCCAAGAGACGGTGAGATCCTGCATGGTGCAAGAAGCCTCCATCAAAACCATCCGTGTCACTGTCCTAGATGTACTGTCACAGCCCAAAACGTGCACGTGCTCTCAGGACCTGTGGAGCTGCCTTCATCCCAGTTCTTGCTTTGCTCTCCCTCAGGGTCAGAGTGTACGACCTCCGCAGGAGCGAAGCGCTGTGCTCCCTGTATGCCCACCGGCTGGGGGTGTCTGCAGTGCAGATGGACGACTGGAAGATCGTCAGCGGGGGAGAAGATGGGTTGGTGTGTGTGTGGGACCAGCGGATGGGCACCAAGCTCTGGGAGATGCATGCCAGGTAACTGTGTGTGTGCTTCTGTGCACCACTAGCTCGTGTAGGCTTTTCACTCCTTACACTGCTTTGCTCAGGGTAAGGGAGAACGGATGCTTCTTCCATCCCTGGATTTCCTGTGGACTTCAGTTAGCATCTTCTCCTGCCCCATCCATCAATACTGACCTTATCAAACCTTGGGCTTCAAGTGCTGTACTGCTGGCTGTTGTCCCTGCTGTGACTGGTTCTCTTTATTTGCCACACCTCCTGTGCTTCTTTACCTGTGCTTCTGTTCTGCTCCTCCACGTTTCCCTTAGCAGCAACAAGCAAAGCCAGATTGGTATTTAAACACACAGACACTGATAGGAAAGTAACAGTTTGTACTGAAAGCACAAAATGTGCAGTGCTGAAGGAGCTGAAAGTACAAGCTGAAATCAGGATCCTGGAGCTGACAGAAGGCTATTAGTGGCTTCTATTAGTCAAATTACCATTTTTTGATTGAGGCAAAATTCCCAGGGAGTTTGCTTTGTCTGAATAAAGCCACAAGTAAGCCCAAATCATAGAATCACAGAATGGCCTGGGTTGAAAAGGACTACAATGCTCATCCAGTTCCAACCCCCTGCTATGTGCAGGTCGCCAGCCACCAGACCAGGCTGCCCAGAGCCACATCCAGCCTGGCCTTGAATGTCTGCATGGATGGAGCATCCACAACCTCCTTGGGCAACCTGTTCCAGTTGGTGCACTGTTCTCAGTAAAATGAACAGATACATCCCAAATACATGCTGATATTATTTTATTAATGCTTCTCCCCCACAGAGATGATATGAGATATTTACAGTCAGAGAAGTTCAAGTGGGAGTTGTCATTAATTAATAGCAGCTATCTCCTTCTCTTTTGACCCTGTGAATTATAAAGCCCAGTGTGATGCAGTCGGTGCATTAAGGACAATACTGCATTGATTATCCTCTGGGGCAGCACTAATGAGCATGCCAAGAAGGAGGGCAAGCAGTGCAGATCTGCTGAGCCCTGAAGTGCAGGGGAAGATGTACTCAAAGTGAAACCATGAGGTTAAATACTGTTTAATCTATGTAGGACTTGGAATGGAATGCTTCAGTCAAAAAGGCCTTCGTATACGAGAGATGCTGAAGTTGTTATCCATGTGTGTAACCCGTGCTGTGAATGGAAGGCAAGGGCAGAAGTAGGGGAGAGAACAGGAGAAAGGTTAGGGTCGTGGAGATGAGCAATCTTTACCTGCTGTTACCCCTGCTTGGTTCAGGGTTAGTTGATTCACCAGCCAGGGAGAAGGAAAGCCCAGCCCTCTTCACCTGTGCCGCGTAATGTATCTCTGCATCAGCCCTCACTCACTGCTTTGGAGAGGGCAGTGGGGGCCCTGGCTGCACTGCTCCCTTTGGAAGCAAGCAGCTCCTCCCTGGGGCGTGCTGCTGCTGGCCTTACAGCAGCACAGCTGCCAAGCTCAGAAGATGCTCTGGCACCACGTGCATTCCAGCAGCAGTCCGCTAGGTGGTGATAAAGGCTGCGTTCATCCAGCTCAGCCAGGCAGAGAGGAGCCAAAGGTGCAGCTTCCCAACCCCTGGCTAGAGAGGGGGCACTGAGCTGGATGAGTTCTTATTTAATACTGCGCTTGGGGTTTGTTTTTCAGGCATCCAGTGCGCTATGTATGGTTTAATTCTCATAGCCTCATCACTGCCAACATCCCTGATGAGAAAACTCCCCGCGGTGCCAGCATCATGGACGACGACCTCACTGCACACCGCAGGTGAGTGCAGCTCTGAGGGCTGGGATCTGCAGCACAGCATTACGCTGCCTTTAAAAATGGCTCCATATGCACTTGAGTCATCATCCGGAGCACAAACAGAGACAAAATGTGTTTGGAAAAAAAAAAATAGAGAAGCCTTTCAGAAGTGTTGATGAATTTTGGCTCTCTGTTTACTTCTGAGCACAGAAAAAAGCATTTCTTGATTAAGGTGGTGAATATAAAGGCCTCTGAAGCAAGACAGAGAATGCAGTCTTTCCCTTATTTTAAATACTAGTGATGATGTCTCCTCCTGAAGAAAAACTGCTGGTATTTAAGCTCCAGATTTGGGTATTTATGGATGTTAGCGTGTCTATGGAACTATCAAACTATGCTGTGCTTACCTTCTCCCACTCCATTGGGTGAGCAGTGTTCCAGCAGATGACAGCTACACCTCTGAACCTGTCTGTAAGGCAGCGCACTGTGTGTTGGCAGGAGTTGGTGGGATCCCTGGAGGGAGGCAGGATGGAGGCAAAAGGGAATCTTCTCCACTTGCATCTGCACAAACAGCCCCAGTGCAGGAAGGACAAGCTTTGATGTTCGTCTTTTGAAGCACTGAATGTTGGATTTTTCAGGCAATCTCTGACAGTTATCCCTGCTGAAATATGCAGTTAAGTTGCAATGCTGTGCTGTCTCGGATGTGTTTCGTACAGGCATCGTGGAATCATCTATGCCTACGAGTTCTCTGTGGACCAGCTGGCTGTAGAGAGCGTCCTCCCCATCTGCCGCTCTTCCTACGACGAGGTGATGGGTTACAACTACAACATCAGCCTTGCAGTGCCCTACGATCACATCTAGGTAACTCACCTGGCTCAGCACTGCCACACGAGAGGCCGAAGGCAAAAGGGCGATTCAGAGGGGCTGAGCACCAGCAGGACTTGTTGGCTGCAGGTGCGTGGGGAGCACTGAGCTTCAGCTGAAAACATGGGGCTGTGAACCACAGCAGAGCAGGGCTGCCCTCAAGCGTACTGATAGAACGTGCTGTGCAAATGTCCAGAGATCCTCTGCAGAGCAACAGGGAGACTAAGGATGAGGGGGAACTGTGCACTTTGATGTGAACAGAAGTGTTCTGTCCTGCTGCTTGTGGGAGGAATGCTGCAGATCCATCCTGGCAGAGGGCATGGGCTGCTCGGGAGGCAGGAACCCTGATGGCAAACTGCTGAGATGGGAGAGAGCAGCAAGGAGGGCACGGCCTGCAGGTGCCTCTCCTGGGGGAGGAAAAATGGGATTTGGAGAAAGCACCTTGCTGAGCCCATGTGTCTGGCATTGCTTCTCTTACAATGAGCTGCTTGCTGTTCTTTGAATGCGTCAGGATGTGTCTAGAGACAGGCACAGGCACTGAAGATGATGGGGTTTGAGAGAGGGGAGGCTGATGAGGAAGTGAATGTTGGCTGTGTCCAGCCTGGATGACTGGAAACCCACAGCAAGTCATACGCATAGGAATGGTTTTAAAATGAATTATTTTTTTAATTCTTTACAATTCTAAATTAAATGTTTTCTGATTCTATATGTGTCCGTGTGTTGGTTGTGGCTTTTGTTCCCAAGTCTGTTGGGGTGAACAGATCCCCGTGCACTGAAACCACAGCCCAGCACATCTCAGCTTAGCCATGAGGCACTCTCCATGCTGGTCTCACTCTAACAGCACCAGAGGCTGTCCCCAGCTGGCAGGGACTTGGGCTGCTGACTGTCCTTGCTGCAGAGCTACATGTTGCTTTAGTGAAGCAGAGGGACCAACTGGCTGCAGTGCGTTGGTGACTGCACTGACATTGCAGAGAAGCATCCAGGCCAAACTTGGATGAAAGCTGTCCAGCAAGTGATAGCTGTTAAGTAAGTTCTTGGGTTGCTTGAGCCCTGTGGCTGAGCACAGAGCTGCTGTCTTATGTTGTTCTGCTCACCTCAGGGCTGTCACCCCCTGCCTTGTCTCACTCTCAATGTCCTTGGCTTGTTAGGAGGCTGACCTTCCTTATCTCAGCCTCATTATCTCGGGGCAGCTTTGTACTTTCTCCATCTGCCTCTGCAAGCAGCAGATAAGTTGCCTCATGCCAGTGCATGTCAGGACCTTTTCCGGACAGCCACTTCCCCTCTCTTTCTGCGCTGTGGTGACAAGGACACATCCATCCCCCTGTGCTGTGCCCTGACAGCTGCAGCAGTCACTGTGCTGTTAGAAAACAGGCTTGGAGCAGTGGGACTGGTGGTCATGGACTTGTTGGGGACCAACCCATGCAGACTTTAGAGGATGTGGGGTCCCCTTCAGTGGAGAAGGATTCCCCATCCCCTCAGCTTGCGGTCCGGCTGCAGCTCCTCGGGGTGGGTTGGGGTGGGGTGGTCCTTCCAGGCTGCTGCTCCATCACTGCAGTTGGTTCAGTATGACAGCACTGTGTGTGTGTGTGTTCAGCCAGCATTCCTAATGCAAATGAGGGCACCCAGGCTGCCAGAGAGCGCTGTGATGGGAGCTGCATTTTTGTTTCTGCAAAGGGCTGCTGTCCCATTTTGGTGGCTTCTCATCAGTGCAGCACATGCAGCCGTGACAGCGTGCATCCTCTGTAGGGCTGGCTGGCATGCAGTGCAGCCTGCTGCCTATAGCTCTGAGCAGGTGGTGCTGATGCTCCAAGAAAATGTCCTGGAGAGGGCAACTGCAGCTGCAGGTTGGTTTTTTTTTTTTCCCCTCAACATTGCAGCAATGCAGTGCTGTGCTGCAGTTCTCAGGCAGAGAAGGACAGCACACAGCTACTGCCAGGGCAGCAGTGCAGTGCTGCAGCATCTCTGTGCCAAACCCATAGGAAAGGAGCCCATGCCTGAGCTCCAGGGCTGGGGGAGCTCACCGGGCCCCACTGCTGCTGTGCCCCACTGCTGGATGGGGGGCAGCTCCGTGGCATAGGGGGAGTGGATTTGTAAGACAAAAACAAACACTTTTTTTCCCAGCTTTTCTAAAAATAATCACTGCCCTTTTCTCCAACTCCCTCCCTCCTGGCTCAGGCTGCTTTAGAGACAGATCTGCCTCGAGCCACGTTATTAGTGCTGTAAATGGAGTGTTATCTCCGTTTCCAGTGGGAACGTGTGGGGGTGGCAGCCACAAGCAGCCAGGAGCCTGCGTTCCTGAGTCCCTGAATCCCCACATCCCTGTGTCCCCATGACCCTTTGTTCCTGCATCCCCCAGTCCTTGTATCCCTGTGTCCCTATGTCCCCCAGTCTCTGTCCCCCCTATGGCCCTGCGTCCCCATGGCCCTATATTCCTGCATCCCCCAAACCCTGGGTCCCTCTGCCCCCACGTCCCTGCATCCCTATGTCCCCCAGTTGCTATGTCCCCATGTCCCTGTTGTGCCCCCTTATCCCCCACTCCCCATATCCCTGTGACCCCCTCTGTGTCCCCGCTGTCCCCATCCCAGCTGCGCTGTGGCACTGCTCACAGTGGCAGATTTGGGGTTGAGCTGTGCAGTCAGGCAGACGGTGCCGTAACTTCACACGGCGTCACGGAGAGCTCCATCAGGTGCCGGGCAGCGGCTGGAGCATTTCTCAGCAAAGAGTAAAAACAGAAGTACCTTTTATTACAGATAAAATACCTCTTAGGTTCTAGAGAGTGGAACGTGGCCCTGTGCCGGCACTGTGGTGCTGGGAAGGCTCCGTCCTGCTCCTGGTCAGTAGCAGTGAGCGATGGCCTCCATGGTGAGGAAGCGGACGTGCATTTTGGTCTCGATGTCGATCCCCTTCCACACCTGCAGGGAAGAGGTGAGCAGGGCCGGGTGCTGGCAGGCAGCGGGGAGCAGAGCGAGGCACCAACCTTCAGGAAATCCTCAAAGGTGATGCCTTCATACACCTCATCCGGGCCCTGCCATCAGACAAACCATCACAGCTGCACCCACGGCTCCTTCCAGCCCCTCCGTGCCACCCCCGTGTGAACTCGCACCGTGCGGGCCATGCACGCGCTGGCTGCCTCCAGCATGGCCCCCTCCGCGATGGCACGCAGCGACTCCTTCTCCAGGTGGGGGTTCCCAGACATCAGCTCATCCAACACCTGCGGGGCAGCGGGGGCTGCGGTGGGCGGCGCGGCGGCAGGGAGGGCCCCCCTGCCCCCATACGTTACGTTTTTGTACTCCTGCAGTGTGATGATCCCGTCGTAGTCGGCGTCGTACATATGGAAGAGGACTGGGAGGGATGAGAAGGGGATGCGGGGTCAGCGTGTGCCCCCCCGGAGCCCCGCTGCCCCGCGGCACCGCCTCACATTTGAGCTTCTCCTTGCGGAAGCTCTCCAGCCGCTCCTCATCCATGTCCATCTCGATGGGTCTGAAGTAGGACATGATGGTCAGGAAGTCCTCGAAGTTGATCTCCTCTGCCAGCCCAGCCGGCGCCTTCCGCAGGTTCCTGATGGCAGCAGAGCTGCTGGGGATGTCGGCCACAATGCCTCAACCTGCCCTCCCCGTAGGCACCATGCAGCCCCAGGGCTGCTCAGCTCGGCGCCAGCGTTTCCCCAGAGCTCAGCTCCGATTTCCCTCATTCACAGCCTGGCTACGGCTGAACCCTCAGGGCCAGAGCTCTGCCCAACCTTCTTGCAGCCCAGGCTGCACGGAGAGCTGCGGATGCCCCATCCGCAGAGGTGCTCATGGCCATGGATGGGCACTGGGCATCCTGAGCTGGTGAGAGCAACCAGCCCAGGGCAGGGTTGGGGGCTGTAAGGTCCCTTTCAGCCCAACCACGCTGTGATTCTATGCTCCCCTCCTCGGGGCTGCACATACCGCTTGTCAAAGAAGGCGTGCACGATTCGGGCCCTGATGGGGTTGAACTCGAGGTCGGGGATGGTGTCGAAGTCCTCTTTGCTGCACAGAACAACGCAGAGAGGGCGAGAGGGGGAGGGAACGCTGCGGGCAGGATCCCGGCCCGTCCCTCCAACGCGATCACAAGAAAAAGGGGTTTTGCCCCAATATGAGCATTTGCCCCAATTCAAACCGCCAGCGAGCAGCGCTGTGTATCAGCGTGTGATACCGATTACGGGGTTTGTGTCCCCGCCACACGGAGGTCTGTGCGATGCTCCAGGACGTGGGCTCAGGGATCGCTGCTGCCTTCCTCCTCCCTCCCCCTCCCCTGCAACCCGACCCCACCAGCGGGCGGCCCGTACCGGATGGTCTTCCTGTTGTGGCTCAGCTGCTTGAAGCGCCGGTGGAGCTGCTCGATCTGCTCCGAGGTGACTGCGGGGGGAGAGCGAGAGGTGAGGGGACACGCGGGGACACCTCGGGAGCGCCCCGTCACAGCCGCACGTGGGCAACGGAACGAGCACAGCAACGGATCCGCGCTTACTGCCGCTCCGTCTCCCTCTCTCTTTTATGATGTTTAATTAACGGCTCCATTAGTTACTGCCGTTTCCCAGCCCTGAACCCGGCGCCGCATTGACCCGAGCGCCCACAGTGCCCCACACAGGCGCTGTGCTGCTTCTCAGCTCCCCGTGGGCAGCACTGGGGGTTCCGGGCTCCCTTTGCGGTGACGGTGGGGACCCCAACCACCCCCCATCCCACCCCCGGGATGTTCTCTGCCTGCTGCTGTTGCGATGATTGCAAACCCAAATCCCTGATGAACCTGAGGGGATCGCAGCCACAGTGCGATTGGAGCTGTGATCGCCCGCGGGCTGCTCGTGGGTCAGCCAGCCCCATATCTCCCGCAGCGCCAAAAGAGGCGTTCTCCCCTTTTTTCTCCCCAAACCCGGCACGGGGCAGCACTCTGAGTCCCACCAGCGTCCCACGTCAACCACAGGAGTCCATCAGTGCTGAAATGAAGGGGCGTTGGGGCTGCCCTCCACCTACGGGTGTTGGGCTGCGGGTGCCCCCGAGGAGGGGGGGAGGAGGGGGATGGGGAGCAGCGGCAGCAGCCCGGCGGGTCCCACTGTGCCCCCCCACAGCGCTGCGTCCCCTCCGGCCCCGACCTTTCCTTTCCATGGGACTTTTTGGGGGCGGTCCTTCCTACCAGACCCGAGCCGCGGGGGGAACCGCCGGGACAAGGAATCAGCCAACCGCCTCCCACCCAACGGCAACGCTCCCCCCCTCTCCGCGTCCCCCCACCCCCCGGCTCTACTCACAGCCGGTGCGCTCCGCCAGCGCCCGCATCTCGGGGGGAACGGACTGCGCGGAGCCCATCGCCCCGCCGCCGCTGTGCGCAGAGGGAACCGCGCCGCCGGGAGCGCTGCGGGAGGGGAGCGCTCCGCCCAACCCGGCACCTGCAGCACCGCCCCGGGACGGCCCAGAGAGGAGGGGGCGGTCACCGTCTCCCCCCCCCCCCCCCCCCCCCTCCTTCCTCCCATCCCATCCTTTATCGCTACAGGATCTTTTGTCCCCCTCTCTTCTCCCCCCCCTTAGATCTGACATCAGCACACACACATTGAAAGACACTTTTACTTCGGCTACGGCACCGCCTCCAGCACTCAGCGCTGCGGACCACCGCGGGGAAAAGGACGTTCGGTGTTTGTTTGTCACATGTGAGCAGGAGGGCATGCAGCAGGTCAAGCGTTCTGGCAAGAGGAGGAGGGGTGTGAGATTTCCTGTGGCCATTCCCGAAGTGCTTTAAGAGCCTCCACCTACCTGCAGGGCAGCATCTATTTCTCTGCTCTAAAGCTTGGATTGAAAGCAAACAGGGAGAGCAGCGCTGGCTGCAGCCCGCAGGCTTTGCTTCACAAAGCTGTGCAGGCTCTGCATGCATGATAACACTTCGTTGTTTTGCATCCTGTAATACCTGAACGCAGAGGAAAACCCCTTCTGCAGAGCTGGGCCTTTAGGTTGTGCTGAAACTCACATGCATGGAGCTGCTAAACACCAGTGCCCAAAATGGAAAGGCTAAGTGCCCCCCACCGCATCCCCCCCCACATCCAGCATCTTCTGACAGCAACCAAAGGGCCTCAAGCTGCAGGAATCAGCATCTCTGCTCCACGCCCTGGCTGGCTGTGTCCAAGGTTGGCCACTTTCCAGTCATCATCCCGCTGTGCTGCAGAACACCTACAGGAGCACACAGCAGCAGTCAGGGCTGGTAAAGCAGCTGTGGTGGCTGTGAACTCACAGCTCTGAGTGGGTTGGAGCCATCCTGAGAGTGCTCAGGGCTGTGCCCCAGTGCTCAGAGGGCAGGGTAAGGACAAGGAAAGGGAGCAGCAGCTCCTCTTCTGCATTAGGAGAGCTTGCAGCAGCCAAATGCACTGCGCTGTGCCCTTGGAAGCCTTGCTGCTGCCAGGGCTCTTCCCCAGGCCTGTGAGGATGGTCAGTATTGGAACAGATCTGTGAACAACCAGAATATGGAGGTGAAAAAGAAGCTGACCACAAATTCAGACTGGAAAAGACAAGAGTGGAACGTTATAGGCTTTAAAAACTATCACCTGCATGAGACATACATTAAAAAAAAAAAAACCAACCCAAACAAAACCCCACAACACTGTAAGGACAAGCAACTCCTCTGGAAGACGGGGTTCTTCCACACCAGGGATCTCACGGTGCCAACCTTCTAGGCAGGACAAGCACAGAATGAGCTTATGGGCAGATCTTCCAAAGGACAGCACGCTTCTCAGCACGACCATCCCTGCAAGACCCTCAGCCTGGGCTCCTTACCACAGCGTCCCTGTGGGCCAGAACGGGCAGGTAGGCAACGGAAAGATTCTATAGCACCGGTTACGAAGTTTAATGCAGTTTTCAGTGCATTAAGCCAAAGGATTGTCACCAAACTTGCCCTCTGGGCAAGTCTTGCAAAGAGGGTAAAGCTACACTCCGGTCTGCTTCCATTCTTGGGATGCTGCTGTCATTCACTCCTTGCCTGAACTGTAGATCTTCTGAACTGTGCTGCATGTCAGCTCCAGGTCCTCTGGGTAGCGAAGCTCCAGCTCAGTGTTGGCCAGGTAGTGAGTGCCAGAGAACTCCGAGAAATAGCGGCCGATGTCGGGGTGAGGAATCTCCCGAGGCTCCGAGTTGTACTCCAGGTTCTCTGCAGGACAGCAAGCAGGCAGTTCTCACCACGTGCAGAAGGCAACACGAGGTGTACTTCAGACAGGCAGCAAGAGCTCAGCAAGGACAAGCCCCTCAGTTTCCCTTATCCATAGCAGAACTGCTGGATGCCACAAATAACAGCATCAACCTACAGCTTAGGTAGAATGTGCTGTGCTCAGGAATCTGCTGTAATCAGAGCTAATTATACTTGTTTATAAACAATTAGAGGGGAAAAAAAAAACAACCCTAAGAGATGACTCAACTCTAGAAGCACTGCAGGTGATTACCAGATTAATTTTCACTGAGGTGCACATTTTAAGATGAATCTATGGCACACAATATATATGTATTTCAAAGACTCTTAACGAGGCCAAATCATTCTAATAAGGGCTGCAACTGGGTCCCCATATGAGAAACACCCACACTTTAAACCTACGAAGATAGAACTGTTTGTTTTTTTTTTCCCCTATACCTTTTGACACTTCTGAAGAAACATTCACTTCAGTCCCATTCTTCCCAGAGGTGGCACTGGAATCCATGCTGCCTGTGCTCCCTGGGGTCTGGGCACACGCAGCCTCTTGGTAACGTAGTTCACAACCCAGCCCTGATGAGCAAAGTCTGTGTGCTCTCTCACTGGATTTCCAGGTCCTGCCCAAAGCACGGCTGTAATTTCACTGAGTGAGAGCTGCTTACGGGATTTCAAACTTCAGAAAGAAGTTGAAAATCAATTGTGTCCAAGACGGACTTGTTTCTATGGCAATAGGAGATTTCAAGGAAGTGGTCCTTCACACTCAATCCTGGCAGCACTGGTTTCATGAACAAGAAGCCTGCCACCAATTCAACATCATTTTCCTTCCTACTTCAATTATAACTTACACTTCATGCCTGCTGCTTGAAAAGAGTTGGTCCCTTAAGCACCTTTTTTCTCTCTGTGCACCTCTGAACAGTAAGCACAGGAGGCTCCTGCTCACCTTGAGCAGCGTATCTGCAAGAGCCATCTTCCACGAGCACGTTGTAGAAGGGCTGGTGGGGGCCGTGGGGGAGGCTGTGGACATTCATATTTCGGATCCATTCGTGTCCCATCATGCAGGCAGGATCCCAGCCATAAATCACACAGTTATAGCCATACCTGATGAAAGAGAATTCACAGCAAAGACTGAGAAAACTTCACAGCCAACTCATTCCACCAAGGCCAATACAGCACAAATGGGACAGAGGATTCCTGTGAATAGGCAAGAGCAAAGAGCAAAATCAACACAAAAAACTTGTGTGCACATCTGTGTTTTGAGAGGGGGGAAATGACTAGGAGTGACTTAGTAAGCAGACAGAAACAAACGGCAGAGGACAAAGGAAAGGCAAATTCAAATAAGAATGAGAATGGGAAAGAGACTGGGATGTCAACAAGCAGGAGAACAGGAAACTAGGAACAGGGAGGGGAAACAACCACTCTCTCTTCCCATACACAGACACGGTAGTCCTAATACTGAACTTCCAGAAACAAAGCCAGCATTATTTTCCGAATATTTATATGACTATGGTACCACAACCAGCACTGCTGACACTCTTAAAATAAGATCCAGACGTCTTGCTGAGATGGAGAAATGGCTGAAGAAACAGAGCTAGCTTGTCATTCTGGCAGAGCTGTACAGGCAGGAACACAAAGCCTCTGTGCAATGCAGGAGGAGAGGGTAATAATAGCACAGCACAAGATTCATAAGCTGTCTTGGGAATCTCATCTCTTTGGAAATCGATTCTGTTCCACAGTTCTTCATTAACTGATTACTGATGTTTCTTCAAGAGCTATGGACTGTGGAAATGCTATCTACATGATGCTTCATGATGACTCACACGGCACCTCACAACTCCCCGCGTGCACACAGGAGCAGCAGTGCCTGCTCTCTTAAAGGACAGACAGATCTGCTCCCACTTTTCTAAGAAGACATGCAGCACAGACACATGTGCCAGGCATTCTCTGTTCCAGGTGTCTCCTGGGCTGATAAAACCACGTCTCATTACTGACAGAACAAACAATTTTGCACTCATTGTTACAGTGCAGACTCCTGGTAATACAGGGAATCCCCTGAAGAGCTCACCTCTTGTGTTTCATAATCAGCCCAATTGAGAAGCAGACCTCTTTGTGCTTCTCATCTGAACGGTGCTTCACCTCAGGTCCCACCTCCTCCTTCCGACGCTCTATGTGCTCCAGGGTGTGCTGCACCAGGTACCCAACAGCCCCGTGCTGTGATGGATCCAAAGCCTGAATATGCTGCAGGATGTCCAGAACCTTCAGCAAGCAAAACATGAAAGCATTCAGAGCAGGTCTCTACAGCAGTCAGACATACAGATCTATCTCTCGAGTTAGCTGGGTCTAAGTGCTCAGGCCTGGATTTCACCACATGTTTTCCACAGAAGACTGCAAACCTGTGCTCTACCTGCACAGCCCCAAGCTCTTCACACTCAGACTGCAGTCACTGCAAACAGCTCCATCCTCTGCTTGTAAAGATGCTTACTTCCAATGCAGGGCGCTGTTGAGCAAAGTAACTCCTTAAAACTAAGTCACAGAAGGCAGAAGCACCACAACCTGCAATCACAGGGCAGACACTGCTGCAAGGCTCCTGAGATGCTAAGAGGGTTCTGCTGCTCATCTCCTAACTGCTGCTGTGAAGTCATTCCAGATAACTTCCGCTATAGTTGAGGACAAAGACTTTAAATAGTTCTTCAGCACAGAAAAAAATGCAGAAATCTGTATAATGCTGCACCCATGGAACAGTAAACAGGAGACAGAGAATCTGCTTGACTCACTATAACTAAAAGGCACTAACTTTACAAGTGTTTCCAAAGTAAATCCAAAATACCAGCCTACTGGCACGCTATCAGAGCACCAGGGCAGAACAGCTGGCCCCAAATTTGCTAGAGACAGGCAATGCAAGCTGTGCTCTGTCTTCCTGCATCTTGATCTTAACAAAAATGTTGTCTAAACAGGTTGGAAAAAGGCAGATACATCAGTCCCAACATCAATTCCAAAATCTGACACCTCTCAGCACCTGGCAAGTGATCAAGGTTTGTCGGCCAAAATTTCTAGCTCTGGCTACTCAGCATGAATGGTGGGGGGAAAAAGTTTGTTCAGGAAAACAGATGAAGCCTCAGGCATGAGAAGAAACACCACTCAGGCTTCTCAGCCACCTGAAATTGCTGGCTGGCATCTCACTGCCTAAAGAACGATGTGAAAATTAAAAAATCTCACAGAAAGGGAAAGGCTTAGTGTGGTGACTGTAGCTGCCACAGATTCTCGACAATTTTATTTCTCACAGAATGGCTTAGATTGGAGGGGGCCTTGGAGGGGGTTACAACCCCTGTGCCATGGGCAGGGCTGTCAGCCAGCACCATCAGGCTGCACGGGGCCCCATCAGCCTGGCCTTGAATGCCTCTAGAGATGGGGCACCCACAACATCTCTGGGCAAATTTCAGACAACATTCCGGGCAGCTCTGCTTGACTTCTAAGATTTTGTATCACTTTTTACAAAATCTGACAGACCTCTATGAAATCTGGTACGTTCTACTCTGTCAGACCTACAGGGTTCTCTGGTTAACTACAGTTCTATATGATACCTGGAAAGATGGGATACATGAAGACACCACAGGAAAAAAAACAGAGTTGAATGTTGTCTTTCCATCTGGCAATGTAATGCAGAGAGATTACACGTAAAAGTCAGCAACTGGGGGTTGCTATCTGTCCTAAGGGCAGCACAGTGCAACTACTTAAACACCACAAACACACAGCTGAGTGCTGGAAAGGAGATGATCTACCTGTACTCTATGTGCTTGCCTTTTCAGCTCAGTCAGTCCCCCTGTGCACAGCTTCTTTGTCAGGGCTGCTTTTCCTGTTGGAACCCTGAAACTTGTTGCCATAAGATAGGAACAGCAAGCTTAGCACAATTTATACCTCAAAAGGCAGGCACCTTCTCTCTTCAGCAATCACATGCCTCAGTCAATTTGGAGGTAAGAACTGTGCCTTCTGCTCAGCTGTCCAGCAAAACTTCTACCTCCTCACTACGTCTAACACTTAGATACAGCACAGGCACTGCTCAAGCAAGTGATATTCACTAAAGCAGCACAGGCAGTTTTGATTAAGGAAGTCCTCCTAACTGTAGCGACACACAGAAGGAATACTACTGTACCACCTGTCCCACAATCACAAGATTCCTCAGGGCTGAAGGTGATATTAAAATTCCTGTCCTTGGGATCCTTTCCATGTTGCTTTTTCACAAGAGTCACTGATTGTGTAACTAAGGTTTCAGAGAACAGGTTTGGTTGTCTGCAAAAGATAATTTCCTGTATGTTTCCTGATAAAGGAATTGCTCCTTTTATACGAGTCCTGTAAAAGTTCCAGCACAACCATCACAATGGAGGCACACCAAGCAGAACTCTTTTGTAACTCACAGCTACAAGTCCAAACTATTGGTTTTAAGACAAACCATCAGACTCTGGCAGTAAATCATCATTTATGACTCAGACCTGAGGCTGCATACAACTCTCCCCCAGGGCAAGCAGGAATCATCCTCTTTCCCTGCTTCACATAGTAGGAATTGATTCTCTGAAATGTGATAACTCGTTCAATTGTGTTTATTACAGAAACAACTTGTAGCAGACTGTAATGCAAGCTGATGTAGTCTAAAAAAAAAAAAATCAATAGACTAGTGTTAATAATGCTTAGCCTACCAGAAAACATACGACCGAGTGCCGAGGTACCTTTTCTGGCCAGATTCCCAGGTGGAAGTATAACCTAGCCTGGAGCATTAGATGCTGCACATTGTCCGGATACATGGCCAGGTACAGATCCAACGAGTCTCTCAAGAGTTGATAAGACTGATCAGTGCTTTCTCTGCCAGCAAAAAAGAAACTCAATTGTAAGGCTAGCTCTTCAATTCCTATCTCTAGCACTCTGGTTTACAGGGATAGTCACCAAAAATTATGTACAGGTACCAGTGTGCTCACTCAGCAAGTGACTCCAGGCTGGCACACATCACATCCAACAGCCTGCTCAGAAGAAAAGCTACACAGTTGAAAACTGGCCTTTACCCTCCCCTTTTACCAGTACTCTGCTTGGTCAAATAACCCTGCTCAGGGAATTCATTCTCCAAGTCATTACCTTTGGAAATTTCCTTTTGTTCCCCTGGCTAAATTACACCAAAAGCAATCCCTCTACTCTGTGATTTCTGTCTAATGCTGTTTGGGAAAGTGATTATCAGGAACATGTGAAAATGAAAACAGATTTTTGCATGCTCAGACAGTCCCTCTGTAACTGCTCATTATGCACTTGGGTGACACATACCTGGTCAAAATGAAGATCTCTGCTCTAAAGAGAACAGCTCCTATCTGCTTTACACACAGGAAAAAACAAACATCTGTCCATTTCCTTGAGTGAAAACGGCCTCACTAAATATTCTTGCTTCCATGCAATGCTGCTACAGACGATTGAAAGCAACCAGACACTGTGATGTGACACCCAGTTTTCAAGACTGCCTGGTGACTGATGCCGTTTTAAAGCACTCACTCAAGCACAGTGACACACAAGTACAGGACAGGCAGCCAGTACAGCGTGGGTCCCTCTCCCCCACAGGCCACACAGCTCTGTGACAACTCACCGCTTGCCCAGGTTGAGGAGATTTCCCACCATACGCTGCAGGACCTCCTTTGAAGTCACCACCCCATAGAACTCCTCTGTCACGTGGTGCCCTATGAGGTACTCGCACTCCTTCACCGTCAGCTGCTTCCCCTTCCCAAAGGCATCAATGTAGGTGTAGTCAAAGATATCTGTGCTTCTATCAAGACACCAGGATGTTATGATGGGTCTCATGGTAAAGAAGGATTACCTCTTTTTGTTCTCCTTACAGCACTTTCAAGATTATTTTTAAAATGCCAAGTGGCATTTATATCCCAGCTCCCTCCTAAAAAGAGATTACCTGCTGCCTTCTCTTCCTTCCTAGTTTCCTCTTCAGCTAAACATACGTGGGAAAAGACACAGAAACTAGGAGGTCATTTTGTCACGTCAGCTGCTTCCTTCAGATATTTTCAGGTTTGCTGTATTTATTGCCAGACTACGTTACAATGCTGCACAGGAACGTGTAGCAGGGAGCACACGCATGGCAGCTGAAGTCTAGTGCCAAAAGGGGTGTGTGTGTGTATGCATGCACACACACAAAACCACTGCTCTGAACTGGACTGCCAATGTCCTTCAGAAAATACAGATTTCTGTAAATCGACCATGATCTGGTTGGTCAAAGGTGTATGCTGCACTGGCTCAGAGAATTAACCAAGTATGCAGCAGCAATGGCCTCTACAAGCTGCTCTGTATGTGAAATCAGCACCTTCTTTCTTTTTTTTCAGCTGTTTGTAATCTTATTAAGAGAATCATTACTTCGTGGCTACTGTTATTTCACACACACATAATGCTACTATTCAATAAGGGCAGAGCTGAGTTCTGGGAAAGTTTCTTTAGAGAGCTCATCTTTTCTTCCTTATAGCTTGTAATTAAGATGGAAAATACCTGAACGTTCTGGTGTAGGCCTCTAACTGTAAACTCCTGGCATTTATAACTGAGGTAAAACTCTGAAGTCCAGCAGATCACTTACCCTTCTTTTCCTTGACACCATCGCAGCAGAAAGTGACTAGGAAAGTTGACTGGTTCAAGTTTGACTCCCAGCTGCCTGGCAATTGTTAAATACAGCACAGACAAACTGATAGGAATCCCCGTTCTGCGGATCAAAACCTGAGGGACAAAAATGCAAGGGGTATTAAGAAAAACAAAACAAACACCAAGGTTTGATTTCACACCAACTTGACAGAGTAAGCACTAAAACATGACATATCTGTTTTACAGCAAATAACTCCAGAGAAGAATTACTTGTCTGGTTACACTTAGACAAATCAAACATCACAGAGAGCGCATCAAGCCTAGCAGTCCTCTAGTTTTTACCTAACACATACCTGATGAATGTATGAATTCAGGGAGTTATAGTAATCCAGCTCATTTCCTTTGTATTTTAACTGCTCATATAGGACACAATTCATAGCATCAAGTACCTGCCGCTGAAGCTCCACTTCTGGAATCAGGATCTCTCCTAAAAACAGATGTAGAGCAATAAGAACACAAGCGTATTAACTTTTACATATTGAACTTCACACCAAAACTCTTGTGTGTACTGGGAACACAAGATGCAGATTCAAGCAGTTAAGAGACTGGAAGTATACAGAGAGACAGATCACTCACTCTCTCTTTGAAAGATAGATTAGACTAACACTTGTAAAACTCCTTATAAAAGGAGTAACATTCTGCCTGACCGTGGGAGATGTTAAAGCACAAACCTTTCTTATTGCTGACTTCTCAGACTTGCAGAAAAAGAAGCTGACTACCTGTCCCATAGCTGAGCTGCATGCATCACGACTAGTTAAGACTTCAGGGACATATGGGAAAAAAAAAAAATACTGCCACTAACCAATCCTTTTTGCCTAAACAGCATCACATGGACAGCCAACCCCGGGCTAATTGAGTTTCTGGGGTTGAACAAACAGCTGTTGCCTCAACAGAGGTTTAAGCAAATGTCAGAATATGCTTCAGCAGGATGAGGAACGACAATACTTAAAGCTGCAATAATTCAACAGGTGTTTCACCTCATCTGCCTATACTGAGACTTGAAGAAAGGCTCTGCAGTCAAACGTTTCTGTACAGTACCTGCCTTGGAAGCCACGCTGGGGTGCCTTGGGTTTTTTGTCCGCAGCACTTTGCGCACTTTGTCTGTGATCTCATCCACCTGTGCCTGGACACTCTTTAAGCAGATGTCTGACAGTGGATTACAATATTGGTCAATTAAAACAGCACCTGGAAAAAACAAACTATATAAGAAACAGAACTTGAGTTTTCTCTTGGCTTGGTTTGAGCTACTCAAAGTTCCAGGCTTATGGCATACAGCAAGCAATTGCAGCAGAACACAATAGCTTTCTTTTTCAAGCTCAGTTTTGTATATGGGATTATCACAAAATGCAAAGAACAAAGCTGACAGTGATAAACACCAGTTAAAGTCAGTAGACCTCAATCTACCATCCTGAAAGGAAAAGCATTCATTTGTACACAGAGCAGGTAGCTGATAGACCAGCCTTGCTTAACCAGCCAAGTCCTGTCTCACTGGCATCCTCCCAGCTCATAATGCTTCTTATTCAGAGCCCCACACAATCTCAACTTCACTCTACATCAGTTCTGATTTCTTCCAGCTGCATCCTCAGTTGTCATCATTCTTGCTCATTGATCCCTCTCTGCTACATTCATCTTCCCATGCCCACTCTCCATCTTCATGTCAGAAATCCACTATAACAAAAGAGATTTTCATTTTTCTGCTGCCCAACACTCTTCTGTCAAACTTCTCCCTCCCCCCCCCCCCCCCCCCCCAAAAAAAAAAAAAAAGCCTTTTGCAGAATCTTCTCCTTGTCATCTTATCAATCAAGAACACTCTTTCCAAAGCTTTGCTTTGGAAATACTTTCCAAAGTATTGCTCAACTTTTGGAATCAACTGTATTTAAGTGCAAGAATTTTGTACTGATCAAGCCTCCTTCAGCTTCATAGTGCTTCATTAGCACCTCCACAACAGGCTTGTATTCAAGCTGCAGAATCTTAACAAGTCTCCAAGCCACATCTTCTCTCCCTAATGCTTCTCATTCTGACCAGGTAAAGCTTCCCAAAAGTCTATCTGTCAGCACTGTAACTGCACCTGCATGGCAGACAAACACTTGTATTCATGGCTCACATCATTAAGTCACAGTTAACTATCTTCCAGAAAAGGCCATCTTTGGCTTTTTCTTCTTGCACTAACACAGTCCCTCCCTCAAAGTGTACTACCACCATCAAGAACTACATTTGGTGCTGCAGAAACTCTCCTGTGATGTTCAGAGGTACATATTAAGAGTAAGAGACTCATCTTCAGACACTGGCATGTTTCATCTCCTTCCAAAGACGGTTTTCTCCATGGAAAGCTTAAGGCAGAGCATAATCCAACAAACTGAGGATACGAGCTGCAGTACAGCCTTTCCTTTCTTCATTACGGTGTGCACGAGCCTTCCCACCACACCACTAGACTTCCATCCACCACCCGGCTCTACTCTGCAGTTCCAAGTGCAGCAGACAGCTCTGAAGATACTGCACACAGGCTGTGAGCCACAGCACCCTGCCTGCAGCTGGCTCCTGGGAAAGGAGGGAGCAGGGAGCTGACTCAAAAGCAGATCAGTTGGACTGCTAGGCCACACCCAGCCCATGGGCCACATTTTCTGCATCACCAGCTAACAAGGATGCTGAGCTCATGCTGTTCTCTTCAGTGGATTGTTCATGCTTCAAATGCAAGTATTTTAATGTTTTGCTTCTCTGCTTACCTGTCCACACACAACTATTCAAGCACACAGCACTGACAAGCTAGTGGAAAGCTGATATTCTGATACAACACTATGCAACTGCTGTTGATTCGTGAGGATTTCAGGTACCTCAAAAATCCAATCTTAATTCTGATTTCTCACTAACTGAGATATAAGCAAAGAAGCCTCCCTCCCAGCAAAACAACAGTGATGGGAAGATGGGAAGTGTTAAGTGCTCTGCATGGGACTTCTGGCAAGGACTTACCCTCCAGAAATGACTGCTGGTCAGCAGGGCGCTGCAGATACTCCTTTAGATTCTTTAATATATTCTGCTGCCGTAGGAAGTATAGAATTTTCTTTGCATAGTACTTCCAGGTGAGACCTTTCCTGCACATTCAAATACAAAAAGTTGTATTGCCCTAAACAAGCACTTTGAGCACAAACATTTGATTTAACTTTTCTAATGAAGATAAATCTAAATTTTATATGCTGATTTTTTAAACAAGTCTGATGATGCCACAGTCTCCAAAGTGATAAAAGTTAAGAGCAAATTCATCATCAGAAGAAACACAACTTACAACAGGTGCAAAATATTGCCCCTATTACCATCTCCAACTTTCATCCAGCCACTAGGATAGTATTTTGAGAAGATACAGTTCTGTGGGAAAATACACAGATCCTGATTAAAGCAGCTCAGGAATATCTGATGAAAATCCTATATTTTATTCATAAAACATTATCCTCTGACTCTAAATTCTTCCAGAATGCAATGTTAAAATATCCTCTCACCAACAAGAAACACTGATGAATGTACAGTCCAGTAGTATTCAGAAAAGTAATTGCCAGAGAAAACATTCCTGTTACTTGGAAAAGGCTGGCAGGGATCAGCAGCTGGCCTGTAGATCACACAGCCCAAAACCTTACAGCTTTCATAGTAAAATCTCTTCACTTTTGAAATTAATAAGTGAAGGCAGAGTGGCCAAGAAGCAGGGACAGAGTTGCCTGCTATCCAGGTAAGAAGGTCATCTGAAGTAAGACAGGCCAACTTGGAGGCATCCAAATCACACATAAAGCAACAGCTGGTCTTCAGTAATGTGCTACCCAGGGCTTCACCAAGCACTTGTGCACCAAACAATCAGCAATGGCACAAAGCCCTGCCTTCTCCCCAGAAAACAAGGGAGGATTCAACCAACTCCCAGGCTCTACCCTTGCCATGTTTATTAAACAAGTCCTGCCTCCTCCTTTAGCAAAGTAACTCCTTTCCCACCTGCCTTTTCACTCTTCCAGATTGCAGGTCAAATCAGTCTTATCCATCCCACTGAACTGGAGAACAATCAATCCTCATAACATTTCACCCTCTTCCAATAAATTGGGATGCTCAAAAGGGACAACTGTTTTACTGGGCTATCTTCCAGAGAAATGATTTAGCCTAATGCTCCTGAATGGCAACAACTGCAGCTTAATCAGGGTGTAATTAGCATCAATTCTGCTTTACAGAGAGGCATTTGGCCAGTGCAAAAGCTCAAAAGCTTTTTAACCAGTCGTCAAATGAGAGATGTTTAGTCCCAGTTCAAATAGAGAAGGTAATAAAATGGATGTGAAAAAGCAAAAAAAATGAGATGATTGTCGTGCCGGTTTTTGTTTTTTCCAAGCTCTACTAATAGCCCCTTTAATCAAGGCTATTAGAGCCCATTAAGGCAAATCTATTGCTGCTTTGTATCACAGCAAAACCAGCATGGTTTATGTGCTCCCAGCAGAAAAACCTTCAAGTAAACCAGCGACTTATTCATCTTGCTCAGTGTTAATCACGATAATGAGAACACCCAGGCAGAAATGAACTAGAAGTTTCATTTCACCTGTCTAAATAATTTACAGAACAGCAAATTTTGCAGCAGCTCAATTAAACTCAGCTGTTTATTTGGGGATAAAAATCGTACATAGCTACTACACACCTAAGAAAGGCAACAAGAAGAAGTTTAAAAAAAAAAAGTTGAGATTTTCTGATGCAGGGCTCTACAGTGGCAACCCACGCTGAAGCATTTCTGCTCCCTGCTGTGCTGTGGGGTCATCCTGCAATTCAGTGCAGCAAACTGATCCAAGTTTAAGCAAAAACATAACAAAAAAAGGAACGTGGGGATGAGAACTCCTTAAGCCAAAACCACTGCAGAAAAAAAGGTTCATGGAATGTATACTGAGAAATGCCATGAATCTGCAAAGAAGCAAGCAAGCAACAGAAGCCAGAGGACCTCCTTCTTGTGGAATAGTTTACATGGTTTCCTCTTGGGAATATTAAATGTATTCTGAAACTACTGCAAAGCAATACTCCCAGCCTCAGTACGTCTGGGGATGCCAGTTTACAAAAGGGCAGAAGCTGACATCACACATTCACCAGAGTATCATTCTCCTTCAGCCAGAGAAAGGAGAAAACCCCTCCACTTCTAAACCCTCCTGCTCTTCCTTACCTGCCTTCCATGTTAAGGATACACATCAGCTCATCCTCAAAAAAATGACTTGGGCACCCAAGAGTCTCAATGTCACTGAATCCATCACAGGGAACCTGTAAAATTAGATGCTGAATTATGGAGAGCACAAGAGATTATTTCCTAAAGAACATTATTCCATAGCATGTTTCAAAACAAATTTTTTTAAACATCATTTAAGATCTAAGGAATATTCAGCTCAGAGAGCTGGCTACTCAAGGTCTCCACTCCACTGATTCATTATAAAGATCCACTGACAAATTAAGGAGCACCCTAGAGCAAGCTGAGCTAACTATTACAGCATTCAGGGCTCCTGCAGAGCTGTATGGAGCAGCCTAAGCACACCAGATCCTATGCAGACTGAGCCCAAGCTGAAAGCAATTTTAAGTTTGAATCAACTTTTTCCTGGAAAAAAAACAATGGGAAATGCAATTCCCATTATACTACATCTCAGTGGGCACTCCACTGGATCTAGCAGAACTTGGTTGAAAGTCTCCTCCCTGCAGTTCTATGTCAGGAAGGAAGCTGCCCTCTCTAGAAGGTAGCCCCAATTTTTAAACGTTTGGTTACTGCTGAATAACAACCTCAACAGCTTTTGCATACATGACTGAAACTGTAGGAAGCCAGGAGCCTCTGCACTCAGGTAATGCCTTGACACACATTTCTTCATGAATGTCTAGCTGCTGCAACTACAGTGAAACAGATCAAAACAAACAGTTTGGACACATGCATCTCCTAGTGGCATCGTAGCCTTTCTCTCTGGGGATGAAAACCTAAGTGTCAGCATTTGCATAAAATCAGATAGAAGATTTCAATATGAGTCTCCTTTATTGCAGGGGAGCTCTCTACTGGGACACAAAGCACTTACAAAAAAGCTAGTGAGGAGTGGCCACTTACTGGCTCTAGAAGGAACTTTTAAGATCAGCCTTAGTTATGCCTACATCACAGAATTTCAGAATTCACTCAAATTGTACAGCTAGATGAAATCCAAGCAGCCAACAGACAGTGGAATAACCATTGGTTTGCATGCAGATAAATCTCTCCGAGAGACTAAATTTCTACTTTTTACACAAGGCACAAAGGCATCTTGATGTCATGGTTAGGTAAATAACTTGAACAACATGCTTTCCAACTCAGTGAACCTAATGTGCATTTGACCTGCTTTCAAATAACTCCCGACAACTCCCAGAAGAACAAATCCTTCCCCAAGGCCTGCAGTGAGATAAACACACAGGCTGGGGCATGCACTGGGCAGCTATCAGTCCTTCAGAAGTTGCTGAGTTCCCAGAGCTCTGAACATGCAGCGATGTGCAGAGTTTTTCAAGCCCCAGTGAGACTCTCAGCAACAACTGTACACAACGTGCAGGGTGAGTTTTGGATCCTTGCACTTTGCACCTTTGGATTTTGGACCATCTCTCTCATTTTGGCTGGTGGCCTGGCGTTCTTACGTCAGGTGAGGCAGTAAGAATTTTCTGACTGCAGAGAAGAAAAGGAGATAGAGGAAAGACAGAGTGCCAGAAAGTGCTCAACAAGTAGCTGGTCTATTCCACATGACTTACATGCTCTGAGAAGAACCTTTTGGAGAAGGAAGCTACAATTCTCTGGGCTTCTAGGCCAGCATTGTGCCGTGCTTTGTATTCTTCAAGCCAGCTAACGCTGTCTGTGTGACTGTAGTACTTCAGTAGTGATGGCCACCTGTACAGCAAGACAGAAGTAAATGGGCTGTTAGTGTTTCAGCATCACTCCCAGGACTGTAAAATGCAGCTTATTGTAATCACAAGACTTGAGGAGCTAAGATACTGCCAAGAAATAATGCAACCTTAAATGTAATTGTATAAATTAATCCAGTGATCAATTCAAGCATCAAAGCATAAACACAAAGGATTTAAACTGAATATTGCTGGACATTTCAAAAGTAAGCTCTCCTGCAGCCTACGAACAACAAATGTTAACAGGAAATCTTCAAAATGTTCATAATCCAGGTATTTGGATATTTAAATATGCTAAACACTTCTGCAATTCCCTCTGGAGCTTTCCAATATAAATACAAGTATCACATCAGCAAAACAGACGCTGAGTTTTATAATAAGGGAAAGCTTGCCATTCTAAAAATGTATCACATTAAAGCTAACCTGTCATCTAACAACAAGAACTCGCTGTCCTCCATTTCCCTCCTACCTTGTGGACCTAATTAAAAGAATGTACAAAACTCAAGCTCCTTCTATTACCCTTGCTGGTGGCAGCATCTACTGGAGGGGAGCAGAGAGCACTGAAGTCGAATAATGACAGCTGGATGACTTTGCACTTCAACGTTAATGTAAGAAGTATGCCCATATACACACACATTAAAAACAAAACAAACACACACACACAAAAACGACCCTACATTTTTTTCCTCTAAAAGAAGACTGTAGATGCTTAACTCAGAATTCAAATGCTCCTACCTGTATATGCACAGTTCGTTTTTTACATCACTACTTCTGTGAAACAATTTTTAGCAGTGGACCAGAAGGCACAGATGCGTCCATCCACACACAGCAGGTTTGTTACTACTTGTTAATCATAAAACCACACTGTACTGCAGCTACACAGAGTCAAAGACTAATCAAACTGCCCCACATTATGCCATAAGCTTTCTCCTGATGGATCCCTAGCTGGTCATCTATCACTGAAATAACAATTACAGACATTTATTTTAGGAGAAGAAAGAAGAATTTGGGGGGTTGAGGTTATATCAACGGTTTTAGGAAGATAAAATGTAATTATGCAAGATGGAAGCTGGCCAGGACAGCAAGGCTAATGTGCAAACAACTGCCAGCAAGTCATAGAATCATAAGGTTGGAAAGGACCTGCAAGATCATCTAGCCCAACCGTCCTTCCATCACCATCACTACCACAAGCACTAACCCATATCTCGTAGCTCCTCATCCAGATGCCTCTTGAACACTGCCAGGGACAGTGACTCCATCACCTCCCTGCCCAGCCATTCCAGTGCCTGACCACTCTCCGAGAGAAAAAGTTCTTCCTCATGTCTAACCGAAATCTCCTCTGGTGCAACTTGCAGCCATTTCCTCAGGTCCTGTTTGTTGCCTGGGAGAAGAGGCCAAACCCTTCTCACCAAGCCTCCCTTCAGGAAGTTGCAGAGCATAATGAGGTCTTCCCTGAGCCTCCTCTTCTCCAGACTCAACAATCCCAGCTCCCGCAGCCGCTCCTCATAGGACTTGTGCTCCAGACCCCTCACCAGTTTCGTTGCCTTTCTTTGAACCCGCTTCAGGGCCTCAATGTCCTTCCTGTAGTGAGGGGCCCAAAACTGAACACAGCACTCGAGGTGCAGCCTCACCAGAGCTGAGTACAGGGAGATGATCACCTCCCTGCTCCTGCTGGCCACACTATTTCTAATGCAGGCCAGGATGCCATTGGCCCTCGTGGCCACCTGGACACACTGTCGGCTCATCTTCAGCTGAGCATCAACCAACACCCCAGGTCTCTTTCCTCTTCACAGCCATCCAATGATCAGTCTGCTATCCAAGGGCAGCAGCACGTGCTGATCACCTCCATGCTCCATTCCAGCTGGTGGATCTGAACCTTTGTACAAAAACATTCAGGTTTGCTTCAGGAATGGGGGGAACTGAGGATCTAATGAGTCGGAAGGGACATTTAAAGGCCTCCAGCACCCTGAGAGGGGCACCCACAGCAGCTCAGGTGACTGGCTGTCAGCAGGGATGGGGCATCCAGCCGTGCAGGCAGCCTCGCAGTGCCCCAGCACTCTTACTGTAAAGCACTCCTGCCTTATACCCAACCTAAAACTCCCCTTTCAGCCAGAAGCCACTCCCCTAATCTTATCACCACTCCCCTAGTGTTATCACACACCCCGCCGCCCCTTTCCTCTCACAGCCCCTTGACATACCGAACCATCTAGATTAAACACTTAGCATCCCACAGCGGCCTGCGGGGCGAACCGAGCCCCGAAGCAGCAAAGCAGCCCCGAGTTCCATCACGGATCCCCGCCGCTCGCCCCTCGATGGCCGCAGGCCGCACAGCCAGGCCCGCCCCGCCGTCACGGCCCGCCCGGCGCCCCCCGCCCCGCGCTGCCCACCTGAGGCGGAAGCGCTCCCGCCACACCTTGCCGCGGGGCTGGCAGGCTTCCCTCAGCCGGCGGCAGGTGCACGCCACCCGCCCGATGTCGGCGGCGCCCAGCACGTCGCAGCACAGGATGAGCTCCAGCAGCTCGCCCGGCAGGTCCGTCAGGCACGGCCGCTCCGCCTCGGCCGCCGCCATCTTGGCCGGTTACCTGAGCGCCCCCCTGCGGCGGGGAGGGGTCACGGAGCGCCGCGCGCCTCCCGCTTCCGGTCCGCCAAGTGCCGGCCTTCTACGGAGAGCGATAAGGGACATAAAACTGGCCGCCTCGAGTCTGGGGGAGGGCGGGAGCGCAGGGCTGGGGCAGCAATCCAGGCTGACACTGCGGGGCGACGGCTGGGGGCAGGGCGGGGCACAGGGGGAGATGCCATGCCGTGGCTGTGCTGAGGTGACGCCACCACATCTGTGGCAATGCCCGAGGTGATGCTCCCTATGGGGTCTGAGATGATGCCTCATATGGCCGTGGCTGTGCTGAGGTGATGCTCCCCATGGCTGTGACAGTGCCTGAGGTGACAGTGCCCGTGGCCATGGCAGTGCTGAGCTGATGCCACCACATCTGTGGCAATGCCTGAGGTGACGCTGTGCCATGGCTGTAGCAGTGCTGAGGTGATGCTCCCTATGGCTGTGTCATTGTTGAGGTGACACTGCCCAAGGCAATGGCAGTGCTGAGCTGATGCCACCACACCTGTGGCAATGCCTGAGGTGATGCTGTGCCATGGCTCTAGCAGTGCCTGAGATGATGCTCCCTATGGAGTCTGAGGTGCTACTCCCCATGGCCGTGCTGAGATGATATTCTTCATGGCTGTGGCAATGCCTGAGGTGACACTGTGCCATGGCTGTGGCAATGCTGAGCTAACACTGCCCATTGCCATGGCAGTGCTGAGGTGATGCTCCCCATGGCTGTGGCAATGCCTGAGGTGATGCTGCCCGTGGCCATGGCTGTGCTGAGGTGATGTTCCCTATGGCCATGGCAGTGCTGAGGTGATGCCACCATACCTGTGGCAATGCCTGAGGTGATGCTGTGCCATGGCTGTGGCAATGTTGAGGTGATGTTCCCTATGGCTGTGGCAATGTTGAGGTTACGCTGCCTGTGGCTGTAGCAGTGCCTGAGGTGATGTTCCCTATTGCCATGGTAGTGCTGAGATGATGCTCCTATGGCTGTGGCAATGCCTGAGGTGATGCACCTATGGGGCCTGAGGTGATACTTTTCATGGCCATGGCAGTGCCTGAGGTGACGCTGTGCCATGGCTGTAGCAGTGCCTGAGATGATGTTTCCCATGGCCACGGAGTGCTGAGGTGATGCTCCCTATGGCCATGGCAATGCCTGAGGTGATGCTGTGCCATGGCTGTGGCAATGGTGAGATAACACTGCCCATTGCCGTGGCAGTGCTGAGGTGGTGTTCCCTATGGCTGAGGCAGTACCCTGTGGCTGTGGAGTGGGTGATGGGAGTGATGAGTGACGCAGTGCTGTGATGCAGCCCTTGTCTCTGTCAGGTTGGTAGATATCACTGACAGCAGCACAGGTAGTGAAAGAGGGCAAGGCCAATGTGTCAGGAGAGACCTTTGAGTGTCAAGAGCCCACAGACAAGAGAAGAATGAGGTCTGCTGTATTTTAGGCTTTTTTTTATTATTATTATTTTGACTGTAATGCAAACAGGCATAAGTATTCCATAAAATCGTAAATTGGAACTATACAGAAAGGTGCATGCTTTAGAACAATGTGGATATCTTGCAAACAGAGCCAGAGTCAGTCCAAGAGAGGGGGCTGGAGTACATTGTACGGATGGCAGAGATTTTAGCAGCATTGAGAGCTCAGAGGTAGGGGAAAACCATGTTTCTGACCACTTAAAGCACTGGTATGATCAAACACAACGCTGCTTCAGCCTCGCTCCCTCTGCCCCTTCGCTCCTCAGAAGAAACCTACCTTAGAATTGCATGAGAAGCTACGAGATAAACCACCCCTCTCCAGTGTCTGATGGGATGCCAAGTGAGATGAAAATGCACCGGTCTGAAATCGTGGCATCATTTTATTGACCAAATGAAGGCACGGTGACATGAGGAGGTGCTGAGGAGAGGGAGGGAGGAGCAGGAGGACCAGGAAGGGGAGAGAAATTGGGGTCCCATCCAGCAGAGCAGAATTCACCTACAGCTGAAGAGTTTAGTAAACCTCTGCAATGGAAATGTCAGGAGTCTGCCCTGCCCCAAAGCTACTGCCCTGCACAGAGTGGCCTCCTTTCTCAGCTTTGTTCTTTAGGAAAAAGGCCACCAGAGCAAACAAAAAAAAAAAAAAAAAAAAGAAAGAAAGAAAGAAAGAAAGAAAAAAAAAACACCAAAAAAACAAAGCAACAACAAATCAGTCTTTGAGGCTTACGCTTTCCAGAGGTGCTTAAGGGAATCAGGAGAAGAAATCCCTGTTCCTATTACAAAAATTAATTGGCACTGAATATCAAATTCCCTGGGTGGATGGCAGCACTCATGTTTCTAACTACATGCAATCTAAAAAGCAATGAGTCCCGGCTGAAAGTCATCTCACTCGATTTGTCTGCTGCCTGGGGAGTTGTGTGCAAGCTAGAACTACTCAGGATGTTGCTATAGACTAAGGGAACCTATTCTCAAGCTCTTTTTAGCATATAGATCCCAGGGTTTTTGAAGGCATCTCAAGGCAGCAGGGCACATTAAACCGTAGGTATTCTGGATATACACCTATTTTGTAGAATTCCTGTAAAGCAGACATTTTGCACTGAATTTCATTGGCGTCAAAGCCATCACTTCAATGCTGAGCACAGAGACATCCTGGTGAGCACTGTAAAACATATTCTATTAAGACATGGTTTCATACCATGATCATACAAACAGAAAAGCAAAAACCACATTTGAAAGCAGGTAGCACTAATGCCTCTTGTTGGATTTGAATGCATATTAAGGCAGTTTTATTGCCTGTGGAAAATTATAAAATCTCCATTTGGCGATTACTGTGGGGACAAAATACTCAATTTCATCCAAAGCAACAAAAAAGAACTCGTAGATCACTTGGTCTTTTTTTGATTGGCTTTTGCAGTATTAAGCCTTTCCCATTTTTTAAGTATTAAAAATGCCTCTAGAAGAAAAACACTTTGTCCTGTGTTATTCACTGGCAGATTTCTGCACTAGCCCTGTGGAACTGTGTGCCAGCTCTGCAGTCAGGCTGTGCAGAGTACCTGCAGCCCAGCTCTGTGCTGCTCTCCTCAGCCCCAGAATTGCTGCAAGCAAAGGTCCCAGAGTAGCCCCCAGCATCTTGCCCTGCCATGGCAATGAAGAGCAGCTGCAAAGCCTTGGCCTGCAGGCACCTATTAAATAGAGGGTGCTGAAGGCAAGGCTCATGCATCTCACTTTTGATGTGTTTTCTCCCTCCTTCCTCCCTGAAATCTAGCCAGGTAGGCACATGAGTAGGCAGGAAAACAGCAGCACTCACAGTGAGGCACTCACTGGTAAACAAGCTGCGGCTGCTCAGCTATGAACTCACAACCTGTTTGGTTGTTGTTTTTTTCTCCCAGTGATTTTGATGGCTCAAACTTCCATCACAGCCTTCACTGGAAACATCTGTAGGGGTAGAAGTCAAGACTTTCCGATCTGCTTTTTTCATCTCACAGCAGGATACAGGTAAGTCTGCATTACAGTGCTTAAATATTTCATGAGTTGCCCTTGTAGCCATGCTCAAGTCAAGTCAATTTCAACCTCCAAAGTATCTATTTTACTTCTGCAACCAAGTGCTTTAAAGCAGCAATCTCATTAGCTTTCTCCAGCTCCCCTGAATTCCTATTAAATACACACGACCATAGGGAAGAAGCTAGAGCTCAGATCTCCCTGTTGAGGGTAGATTTCAAATGGAATACTAGAGTCATGCATTGCAGGCAGGTGCAAGTGCAGATTGACACGCACAGAAATACTGCCATTATGAAACTGCTGCTGCTGTGAAAGCCTTATTCTGCAAGCTGCTGAACACCCCCAGTGCCACAGAAGCCAGTGGTTGTGGAAGGCATTTTGTATCTGGAAGGACTCAGATGCAAGAGCAACTTTGTCTGAGTTTGTGAATTCAGTTTTCCAAGTGTGCAGTGCTGTCCAGATTTTGCTCCTCCTGTTATAGCAGAGGAAATTGTTGTAACAAAGACAGAGCTACAGCAAAGTTGAATGGTCCTGTAAGTGTGTCTCCATCTGTTCTGTAAAGAGACTGCACTCCCCTCTGGAGCTACCAAAGCAATTGCAAAGTTATCAGAGCAATTCTGAAGCTGAGAATTGGTCCCCAGTGAAGGTAGGAACAAAATTTAGTTTTGAGCATAAAATTTCCTTCCAAAAATGCTGGGAACTCTCCATAGCTTCCCCATAGGTATAAATCAAAGGTCTGTAATGGCTTCAGAGTTATGTCAGGAGGCAGCAGCTTGGGTTCAGGGTTAGTGCATATGTCCACAAGGCTTCATCAGAAACACAGCCTTCTCTAAAAAGCATAATGAGAATGTGGCCTTCAAACTGTGGTAGGTGCTCACCGATCAGCAGTGTGTGCAGAAGATGGTGTCCAATTTGGACCCACATTCTGCCCTGTCTTTGTACTATGTATTTTGTACTATGAAGCCCCACCAAAAGAAAACTGCAGAGCACAGCAAGGCTTATAGCCTGCTCTCAGTGATCCCGTGAGGAATTTACCCACCAAGGTTTTCACTTGTGAAATGAAGTCAGCTGTTCCTCTCAGCCTCCAGTCTTTGTGAGCTTGGAGCAGCTCTGAAGAGAGCAGGAACAGGAGGGCACCCTCAGCACCTCTTCCTAGCACAAGGCACTACAAGCCTGTTGGCATCCCGAGGACCTGCCCTCACCCAGCTGTGGACAGGCAGACAGGGCTGGGGGGGACACAGGAAGGATCTGCAGGGGGAGGTGGTGCAGGGAGCCTGTGTCAGGTGAGAGGCATTACATGCTAACAGCAAGAGAACCAGCAAAGCAATCCCATTTAGACACAGCTTCGTGTGGCTGCTGTCTCTTCACATCTCCTTTTCTTCACAGGAGCAATCACTTTGCTCACTGCAATTTTCCCAGACATACACAGACACAGAGTGTGGATGCAGTCCCCTGCTTGTCACCGAGAAGTGTAGGCTCAGGACAGGGGCAGGGAGCATGGCTGCCCAGCCTTAAACTCTGCTTCTCTGGCCAATATGGATGCAACTGCCTCGGTTCCTCCAGCACAATGATCTTAGGTCTACCCAGTGATGATTGTGGAGTGTTGTCTTTGCAAGTCTGATCCTGATGAGAGAAGTCTCATTATTTTCCCGCTGTCTCTCATAGATAGCAGTAGAAAGAAGAACAGCAAACTCCTAAGCAGTCCTTCTGGGGAGATGAAACCTTTGAAGTCATCAACAACACAGGCAGCAGGTACCCTTGTGCTGAACGAACAACTTATTTTCCCCTGCTAATGGACACAGCAGGTTGGGAAAACACAGAACCATTTCCCATGAATTTTCAAGTTGGTACATAACTTTCTGTGGACATCTGAGAAACTTACAAATTAAAATCTCTGCAGAAAGAAAAAAATAAAAAAAGCACAGCTTCCCAGTGCTTTCACTGGTATCTCCTGGAGCAGGAGATAGTAGCATCTTGAAAATCCAATCTCCCATTTAGAAAAGACCCTCTTCGTGTTTAATCTCTGGGGAGCAAAAAGGAGCAGAACTGCTGCAAAACAGGCAGTGGTGGTGGGCATCCTCCAGGACAGGGACTGGGGCACTGGGTTGGGCCAGGAGCCCATTGGGTCCTGTGTCCCCTTGCTGCAGGAGCTGCATGGGGCAGGGCAGCAAGCAGCCAGCAGTGACGTTTGTGACCTGAGTGCCCAAAAGGCATGGTCCATCCTGGTGTGACACCCTGGGCAGCTCAGGGCACCAGTGTGCAGCACTCCCTGCTGTTTGTGCGTGATGGAGATACCGTGGCTACACACACGTGTCAGACATGTCACACTGAGATGAGCAGAGTCTAGACAACTAGGAAAAGCCACATTTGTGGAATGAATGATAAAGCAGATCCACAGGTTTATTTCTCCCTGCGCTGTGGGAGAAAATTAAACTCGAAGGGGAGTGCGAAGCCTTCGCAGGTTAGAAGGACGAAGGGGGAGTTAAGACATCTGAGACTGACTCAACAAAATGCAATGAATCAAAATTCCCAGTAGTTTGGCTTGTGAGAAGCCCTGCTGAGGCAGAGGGAGCGGAGAGGCAGCTCGGAGTCCTGCAGGATGTGCAGCTCTGTGGACTTTTGTGGCAGAGCCAGGCAGGCCGGCTGCCCTTCAAGCAGCATTTCTCTTCGGAAGGATTATGAAGGACTCACCTAACCACTGAGCTTCAGACAGCCAAAGCTGTCTGCCCCTTTGGAAGTCCCACTGAAGGCAAGGCACACGCCCTGTTCCCTCCTTTGTGCTTCCCAGTGCTTTCACTGGTATCTGCTAGAGCAGGAGATGGAGACGGCAGGCTTTGGGGCACAGGAAGAGCAAGCCAAATTCATTTCAGCCATAGACTGCAACAGCAACAGGACTTCCAGATGGGAGATGTTAAAGCAATACAGGCAGAAGGCAGGACTGGAAAAAACTAATTGCTAACAACACAGGTTGAGCTGGAAAGAGGACGAAGACAAGGGCATTTCTTTGGGCACACCCTCCTTTTCAGATTGTGTCACCAGTTCTATTAAAAGTAGGAGCAGAGCACAGAGTCTAGAGCCATAATCAGAATCAAGGCAGGGATGTGATGTGAATTTGTTCTTTAGCTTTGTTTCTGCAGCCATGGGACGTGGGTTTAGGGCTAGGTTTGCAGTATGTACACAGGTCTAGAGCCAGGGGTTTGGTTCCCATCAGCAGGACGCCTGCCTGAATTCTCACATCCCAGCAAAAAAGGGACCCAGCTCTCTCATCCCACCACCTGCCCTAGGATTGGGGCACAGGCCCTAAAGGAGGACCAGGGGCTGCACTTCATCCCATCATGTCCAGCATTCAACTCCACATCCCCAAGTCCCCAGGCAGTGCCACAAACCCAGCCTTGCAACTGCCATCTTAACGAGCTCGGCTCTGGCCACACTGTGGCAGCATTCCTTCGCATTTCATGCCCTGCAAAGTGCGCTGCTGGGACCAGCAAAACTGAGATCTGGGTCTCTGGTGCCCACCTGGCTCTTGAGCTGGAGCTGCTTCAAGCACCCAGGGAGTTGAGGCTGCAGATGGTCCCAGCTATGGCCGGCCAAGCAGCAGGAAAGGGCAGCGGGCTGAGTGTATGACACCTGCACTGCCAGGGAGGCCAGCGTGCCTTGCACCACGAGCTGAGGGAGCTACAAGCCTCATGCAGCTCTTTTTGTCCCCACTTGGTCTTAGGGCAGCAAATCCGAGCCCTCTGAAAGCAAAGCTCTACGTTACAGCTCCTGAACAAACCCTCTGCTGCCTCTGGTGCGGGTGCTTTGTTCCACACAAGCCTCAGTTCACAGTGCAGCAAAGTGGGGACAGGAGGACAGGATCAGCTCCTGCACCAGCCTCATGTCCCTGCCTCCAGCAAGGGCTGCAGCTGCCCAGAGCCCCTCACGCTGCACTGAAGGAGGACAAAACCTCCTGAGGGTGAGAAGGGGGGTGAGGGAAGAAGGATGCACAATGTTGTGCTTGCTTTACCTCTCTGACAGCTCTCCTCTGCTAAAGGGACCGATTCCTTTCTGTGACAGTGCTAACGGCTCATTTGTGGGGTTGCAGTTTTGCAGCCAGGCTGAGGTGTGAGCGTGGCAGAGCCCAGAGTCACGCAGCAGCCTTGCAGCCCATCTCACCTCCAGGTCGACGAGTCGTCCTGGCAGAGACAGCTCGTGCTGCTGGCAGGTGGCACACAACCTGCATGAGGGGACAGGCTTGCACCAAGATGCTGCACGTATTTATTTGGCAGGCAGGTCACTCCATGCTGGCGCTTGCTGCTCCCGAAGCCATGAGTGGGGTTGGGATGTGCTGTCCCAGAACTGCTCACAGCACTGCACTAGGGTGGAACTGGTGCTCTCCATGCTTCCAGGAACTCTCTGTCAACACAGCCTCCGAAGGGACCAGGTGGTGGGAGCCTTTGTAGCCCTCCAAGTTCTGCTTTCCCATATGGAGGTGCTCCTGCACCCGGGGTTGGTGCTGCTTCTCTTCCCTCCTTGTGGCTTTCCAGTCTCACCTGGGAGAGGGTTCAAGCGTTCACATTGCAAAGCTCAAGGATGCAGCTGAATCTCTGCCCCCAGCATCACAGCTGCAGATTGCACATCTCTTGCAAAGCCTTTCGGAGGACAGCCAGGCGAAGCAGCACTCGTTGCTACAAGTTTCTCCCTAGCACAGACATCAGCCTGTGTGTTCAGTGCTTGCTCTTCAGCAGGAAGACTTTCATGCCAGCAGAAGTGGGGACTGAGCAAAAGGAGAGACTTAGGGGGAACGGGGAGCAGAGAAGGAGGCAAACAGCGCAGAGTGCATTTAGGAGAAACTACGATATGTGAACTGCAGACGTCCTGCCTTCTGGCTCGATACAGATGCGTTTGCACCCAGGCTGGGTGGGGATGAGCAAAGTTCACAGGCACAAGGACATGGCACATTGACTTCCCCCAGCCGTGGGCTCGTGCCCAGGCCTGAACAAGCCCAAAAGAAAGCAAAGAAAATGCCAGGATTCAGCCAAGCCCCAAGCTTGGGGCTGAGGGAACGGCCCCCAGATCCCATAAAGCAGCAAGAGCCAGCCAGCACCCAGCCCCTGCCACTCTGCTTGCCCCCAAAACACTAAAACGCAAATGGTCACAAAAATGATAATTTCATGCAGCTGCAAAATGCCCTCGTGAGAGGATGGAGAAACGGGAAGTTCTGTTAAGAGCCACTGCGAATTATGAAGCCATCATACTTCAATGGGGAGATCAGGAGAAGGGAAAGGGGATGAAAAGAAACCACCACAGGACAAGAGAGAGAGCAAGAGAAAGAGGAAGAAAAGGCAATAAAAATTATCATCATCATCATCATCATGACACAACAACAGGACAAGAGACAGAGCGCTTTCCATGGGCAGTTCCCCGGAAAAGGAGCCACTGTGTCCGTGAAATACAAAACCCAGTGCCCTCGGCAGGAGTGGGCAGCAGGTGCCAGGACTGGTTGGGCATCCCTTGGGGCGAAGGGTCCAGTTAGGAGCAGAAAACCCTGCAAGGGAAAGGGCAGAAAGGGCTCAGAGGAAGCAGCTGAGCACCCTGCTGGGTAATGTGGCCCTAATGCGGGATGAGTAGAGCTGATGCAGAGCAAAGCCGTTCCGGAGCATTGTCCTCTGCTTCCAGGAGGGCAGGGTGGGCTCCTCAGGGGTCTCTTTGGAAACCAGAGTACTGTGCTCTCCTGTGTACCTCCCCACAGGGCATCTGGCAGTACAGCCAGGGAAAGGCAGTGATCTTCCCATACGACCCTCCAGAGGACTGCTTACTGTTGCAGATATGCACAGAGCCGTGGCAGCTGGGTGAGGTGGGCACTCGTTAACCCTCCCTACAGATGGGAACTGGCAGCTCTCCTTACACAGTGCAGACCCTGGTGTGTGCAGTGCATTGGAGCAAAATTCCTCCCAAGTACCACAGAAGTTGGGAAGCCAGGACTGCATGCCAGGACAAAAGCCAGGATGAGGAGTGAGATCCGTGCACATCCCTCATCCTAAATAATCCTGCTCACTAAGGGAAGAGTCCCTCAGTACAGAGCTGAGCGCATGGCAGGATATGACAGAGCACAGATACCTCATGGCACCAATTCTTACTTCTTTTGCTTGTTTTCTCCAGAGAGGGAAGACAGAAAAGCCTCCAGATCTTTCCCAATTGGAGCTCCAACATGGGTACCCCCCAACATGGTAGCAGCTGCCTGCACTCTCTCTGCTATCTCAGAGAGATGGCCATGCAGCAGTCTCTGCAACACATGCAGAAGTGAAATGTCTTTTTTCCAGCCACTCTTTAGGGCTAGAGATGTGCAGAAGTTAAAAGTTCCTTTCCCATCCCACAGCCCACACACTTGGTGACCAGAGCAGGGGTTAAAATAAACATGTCAACTCACTCATCTGTATCTTTTTTGCTCTCCTCAATGAATGCAATAGACTCGGATCTAAGGCGGTTAGTCACTTCGTACGTGCGCAGGGTGACTCCAAAAATATCCTCGTGGTACCGGCTGTCATCCTGAGAGTGAGGATGGGAGAGGAACAGAGGAGAAAGAGGAAGGTTTACACATAGTTGGTGCTGCTGTGTCACAGAAGGCTGCGGGGCGGTGGGCAGGTCCCCAGTACACACCAGGTGTTGTGGGGCCAGTGACAAGAGCTGAAGGGGCAGGGAGGGCAGAGGGGCAGAGACACAACCTTCCCAAGGTCATGCTGCATCGGGCAGCCCTGATGTGGGAGAGACAAGCAGGGGACCCGCAGCTTGTCCTTTTACCTTGCTGCAGTGACAGAGGGACAGCGGGCACTCAGTGTGGTGAATGGACCCAACAAGATTGCCCGGAAGATCTCATGGGGAGGAGCTGCTCATCACCTCAGTGCTTCCCCTTTGCAGGACAAGGCACCAGGTGCAGTGCCCGGGGCAGGATCTTGTGCAGGGCATGGACACCACTCACCCGCAGCTTGCTGATGAAAGTGCCTGCCTCCTCCACTGACAGCTGGCCCTGCTGCTTCACGATGCGCTGAACGGTCTTGAGGACGTCCCCAGCCATGGTGACATCCCCACAGACGTAGATGTGGCCTCCCTGCTCCTTCAGTGCTTTGTACACCGTTTGGGCCAGCTGCTCCTGTAACACGTCCTGCACGTATTTCTGCAGGAGGGGGGAGCAGAGTTAATTTCAGCTTCTCGATCCCCTCCACCCGCATGCTCTGGGCAGCTCTGGAAGCCCCAGCTGCCTCCAGTGCCTCCTGTGGAGAGCAAACCTGTGCCTTGCTGCACCCCTAAAAGAGGTAGAAAGGAGACGGGTGAGCAGCAAAGCTTCATTTGGCACTTTTTTTCTGCTGGTTCTGGATCGCCTTGCCGACTGACACCGTCCTGCTGCCCTTGGCATGGGGTTGCAGTGGGGAGGATGTGGTGTTCTGCTGAGGATTCCCACCCACAGCCCCAGCACCCACCAGCACCTTTGGTTTGTCCGGTTCCCGGGAGTAGGCTGTGTACAGCTCTCTGAAGACACCTTGAGTTTTAGCAAACAGCGTCTCCTCTTTGTAGATGTGATCAATCCTGGACTGCCGGCATCCAAACACCAGAACCATAGGACAGGGCTTCAGGCCTGGGGAGAGATGGGGGGAAGCTGTCAGCTTGCAGACCACCAGCATCCCTTTCTGCAAGCTGCATCTACCAGCCACCCCAGCAGGCCCATGTGAGCAGCCCACCAGGGCCAAAACATCCTTAAGAAAACAACAAACCAATCCAACGCTACAGTGCATAGAACCGTAAAAACTTTGAGTTTTATAGGGAGATTGTTAGGGAGTTTGGGCTGCGTTCCAAGTCTGCAGCCCCTTCGAGGAGGTCTGGGCCAGCTCAGGGCCCCAACCAGCCCAGGGTTATGAGTGCTGCTTGGGGTGAGGAGCAGGAGGAAGAAGTGTCAGCTTACCTTTGTGCTGGATTTCAAAGAGCCGCTGCTGCCAGAAGCTCCGGAATGGGGCAATGCCGGTGCCGGGGCCAATGAGGATGCAGGGCACCTGGGGGTCCTGGGGCAGGTGGAACCCAGGAGCCCTGCGTGTGTTGAAGACATCAGTTAAAGCCAGGCATGATGCTTCCTGCCTTGCCTCTGCTAGCTGAAACATTGTTCGGAGAAGCAGGGATTGAAATCCCCAAAAGTGACATTTTAGTGCAGAAGAGAGCATGCAAGAGGGACCCATGCGTTCATAGAGCCAGCCCTGCTTTCTCTGCTCCCTTGGTGCTTTGCAAAGAAGGACCAGGGGGAAAGAGCTTCTTCTGCAAGGGTCTTCCTTCACCCTCTTCTCCCATCCTTCACCCCCTGCCTGGGTCACTCACCCTCTTACAAAGCAGGGCACAACCTCGTCACTCTGGATCCTATTGAGCCAGGAGGAGCAGACTCCGTGATGGATGGGGCCTTCTCCGTCTAGGAGAAAAGAGAAGAAGGGCTGCCCTTAGCATACCAGCCAGTACTGAAGTCTCTTTCCTTTCTGAAATTCTCCCTGCTACGTCTCCTCCTGCACCCAGAAACCCACTGCCCGTCAGAATCTCTGATCCATCCCCATGAGTTTGGGAGGGGGTTGGCACTTGCATCCCAATCTCCCCCAGGAGTCAGACCTGGAATAGCTGGATTTTTATGATACCTTGGAAGCCCTCAGTTTTGTCCTTGGCAGCCCAAAGTGAATGGCCAGCATATTCTCCCATGTTCAGTGGTGGCATCAATGGTCTCTACCCATGCACACCACAAACAGGGCTGCTCAGAGCCATCACTGGTACCAAAATCTGGCTGTTAGTTGCTGCGTGGACTTTGGTATGGGCAATGGAATAGTCCCACATGGAGCAAAGAGTTACTGGTTGGTCTGGGCCAAGTCTGCCAGGCTGCCCTTAGGTGGATGGCCCTGCTCTGTGCCGTGTGACAGCAGTATCACAGGTTGAAGACATCTAACTGCTGCTTTTACATAACATCTCTCAGTCAAAGCCCGTATGGATTTGCCCATGTGCTAATGTTTTTTCCCTATTCCCCACTCCAAGCCCACCTCCTCTGCCCCCTGCCTGAGCCTGGTACCTCTAGTGCGGTAGGAGACCACGGCCACGGTGAGATGGACCTCTCCAGGGTACATCTCCGGGGAGGAGCTGATGGAGTAGTAGCGGGGCTGCAGCAGGGGCAGCTGTGTGAGCAGCAGTGTGGAGGGCATCTGCACCGAGGGGAACTCCTCCAGCACTTCCACCACCGTGGGGTTCTTGGACCACTTCCACTCCTCATACTCCTGCAAGCCCTGCAGCCAGGTTGAGAGGAAGGGAGAGCTGCAGCATCGGCCTCTGTGTGCCCAGAAATTTATTTTATCTGGAGCTGAAGGACTGGGCAACTAAACAAGGTGATGCTGAAGAGGAAGGTCTGCACCCTGGGGTGTCATTAATCAATATTGGGACTGCCACATGTAAAAGTGAAGGAAGTCTGCTCCAGAAGTGAAACAACCCCTGTGAGCCCCTGCAACTGGGATTTGAGTTTTTACCTTGCTAAGGACCTGCAGACGTTTCTTCTCCTTGTCACTGGTGGCCAACAAAGCAAACTGCTGCAGCAGCAGCGGGGTGGGAGGGGTGGTGATGTCCAGATAGTATTTAAAAGCCTGGAAGATGGTGCATGGTGGGATGCGGTTCTCATCTGTCCAGTTACTGATGACGCCTGCCAGGAGGGAATCCAGCACAACCATGGGTCAGCTGAGCTGCACGGGTCAGCGGAGCCAGGGGGGGATAAATCCTTGCTTTCATTCCCCCCTGCTCAGCTCTGAGACAGTGAGTGATGAAGAGCCAGAAAGAAGTGTCAGAGATATCTTCGTGCTACAAGTGAGATGCTGTGCCATGAGTACAAATACGGAATCTGATACTCCAGCACCTTCAGCTTTGGTCACTCTGAGTGCATGCTATTTTCCACCTCCTCTCACACCATGCATGGCAGTAGGGCATTGGGCTCATTCCCAGAATATTGGAGTGGTCCATCAAGATGTGATAGCTCATCTCTCCAATCCCAGGCACTGCTCCTTCTATAAGAATATTAGCACCTTTAGCATATTTGCCTTGGTCTGGAGAACAAGGAAACCTCTTCTCTATGGTCCCTGCTCAGCCTTCAAACCCTTTCTTTGCCCCATTAAGAAAGAAGGAGGAATGGCTCTGGGCAGCAGAAGATGGAAGGAGGTGTTCCCAATCCCGATAAATGCAATGAGATGGGAAAATTCCTCCTTGAGGCTAACCCTAACCCTAACCCGTACCTCCCCGAGGAGCTACAAGGACCATCGTAGGGGATGAGTAGGGGGAGAGTCCACCTCCATGTAGGGACTAGGGATGTGCTCACCTAGAGCTGTGCTCCTCTCCTCCAGGAGCTCCACCTTCACCAGCTGGTTGGCCGGAGGAGCATCCTCAAGCCTGTCAATCAGGGCATTGACCAGGTCCTCGTGGTTCCCTGGAAAGACACCCAAGTGGTCCCCAGGCAGGTACTGCAGCTCCTGGTGGCCATTGGTGTGGAGACGCAGGAAAATGGTTGAGCGACTGCAGAGAAGGGAGAGAAAGCAGGATGGTATTTGGGGGAGAACAACAGAGAGCTGCTGAGTGACATCCTTGACAGATGTGATGCTGGGCACCATAGCAACCGCCTTCAGAGAATCATAGAATGACTGGGTTGGGTGGGACACTAAAGATCATCCAACCCAACCCTGCCCTGGGATGATTGCCCTCACCAGCTCAGTCTGCCTAGGGCCCCATCCGTGTCCTGGAGCACCACCAGGGTTGTGAACCCCCACAGCTCTGGGTCAGCCTGTTCCATTCTCAGACAGGAGACTACATGATGGCTGAGATTTCACCACAGAGGAGAGCAGAACATACCCTTTCCCTGGCTCACACAGCCATGATTTGCACAAATGTAGTGTCAAAACACGACATTTGGGGTCAGGGACGCATGCAGCACCACATGTACAGGTGCTTGGATGCCCTGTGAGAGCATTTGGTTCCAGCAATCCTGGGATGCTCACATTTCTTACCTGGACTTAGGGCTCTGCAGGTTTTGGCGTGTGATCAGTCGGGCTGCATAGACACGCTTTTTGTGGATGCTGTACAGCCCTGCAGAGGAGAAGAGCCCATGAAGAGACACAGCAGAGCATCGGAGCCTTGGGGGGGACGCAGCACGTGTCCCTTCTGCGAAGGACCAGGGAGGGCTCAGCCACCACCTGCACAAGGTGTGGGGACAGGACCTGGCTGCCGGTGCCAGCAGCAAGGTGGCTGAATTGGGAAGCGCCAGGGCAGTGCGGCAGAGCATCAGCTGCAGGAGCCATGCTGAGGGGCCAGGTGTCGGTGGGCTGGCCCTGCCGTTGCACCGCAATGCTCGGATGAGCGGCATTTGGACAAGGCCAGCTTGGAAAGTTCCCAGCTTTCCAGCTCTGTGCTTCACAAAAAGGGGTCAGGAGGAGGGAGAGAAGCTCAGAGCTCAACATCTCTGTTGCAAAAAAACAGGCAAGGAACAATCAAAGGGGCCTGAGGTCATCACAAATTCATCCTTGGGTGTTTGAGGGTGTCCTGCTTTCAGCTGAGACAGAGCTGATTTTCTTCGTAGTATCTGGTATGATTCTCTATTTTGGATTTAGGGGAAAGCAACATCGATGTAGTTGTTGCAGAGCAGTGCTGCACAGAGCCAAGGATGTTTCAGCTTCTCACACTGCCCTGCCAGCGAGGGGCTGGGAGACAAAGGAGATGGGATGGGATAGAACTGGGACAGCTGACCCAAACTGGCCAAAGGGAGATTCCATACCATATGACATCATGTGAAAAACTATGTAATGGAGGGGAGTTGGCCAGGGGAGCAGCCACTGCTCAGGGACTGGCTGAGTATCGGTCGGCAGGTGGTGAGCAATTATTTTGTGCATCACTATGCCAGGTTAAACCACAACAGGTTGGGAAGAAAGTAAGACTGAAACAGTGGGAATGTAACATAGGAAGACAGGGAATGAGTAAAAAGCTTTGGTCCTTTGCCCCCACTGCTCCCAGTACATCTCCCCCTCTGCCTGCCCCAGATCCCCTGGGTCACCCCATCTTTGCACCTTGTGTGAGCTCCGGGGCCTCAGCCACGTAGGTGAGACGGAACTTGCTCCTCTTCCAGCTCCGGTCATTGCTGATGAGGGAGTTGTTGGCCTTCTCGATGTTGACATCATCTCCCACGCAGAAGACATCACACGCTGCCTACAGCACGCACCAGGCTCTCAGCAGCCCTCCTGCCTCCTGCAGTGCCCTACTGAGCCCCAAGAGCCCCTTGACCCACCCCGACCACAGATGACACATGGGGATGGAGGTCCTAGAGGTGTAGGGCTGTACCAGTGGCTGTGAGCATAGAATCATTTGAGTTGGAAGGGACTCTTAAAGGCCATCTGGTCCAACTCCTCTGCAATGAACAGGGATACCCACAGCTCCACCAGGATGTTCAGAGCCCTGTCCAGCCTGATCTTGGGCTATCCACCACCTCTCTGGGCAACGTGTGCCACTGCCTCACCACCTTGACTGTAAAAAAAATTTCCCTTATATCCAGTCTAAATCTCCCCTTTTTTAGTCTGGAACCATTTCCCCTTGTCCCATTACAACAGACTCTGCTAAAGAGACTGGCATGAGTTGGGGCGCCCTCTCCACAAAACGTCTAAGTTTGGAGAATCTCAATATTGATGACCTATGTCCCTCTTGGGCTTCCAAATGTAGGGAAGGAGAGAAGGCTTCAATCCAGCTCTAAGCATCGGCTGTGCAAATACTGGCCCCGTGCACTTCACCTCACTGGAGCACCAGGGAGGCAGGTTACCTTGAAGACTTTCTTGGCCCAGGTGCGGAAGGACTCCTCCTGCCCACAGAGCTCGTCCCCCTCTCCCATGCGCAGGATCCGCTCCCCACCCAGCTCCTCCAGCAAGGTATCCACTGCCCGTGCAAAGGCACAGAAGTGGGGGTATGCCCGTGAACCCAGCCCAAACACAGAGAACCTGCAGAGAGAGGACACGGCTGTGGCTGCAGCATGGGGACAGTGGCATCTACCCATCCTGCTCCCAGGGACATGCAGGACTCACCACCTCCCTCCCCATTCTGTTTACCTGACATTAGCTAGGGGTCCTGTACTTTCAAAGTTGTCCCTGGAGTCAGGGCCATCACTTGAGGACTTCCGTGCATCCGAGTAGGAGGAGACACTGTTGAAACGGACCTTGTAGCTCCTGTAAAGAGCAATGGCAGAGAGTGTTGCAGTGGTGACAGGTCTGACAAATCCCATTGCTTGAATAGAACTGGGCTCCAGAGGGGACAAAAGCAGAGCAGGCTGAAGCTTGACGCTCAACGTTTCATGAGCATGTAGTAGAAAAATGCCTACCCTGCTAAAAGTGAGACAGAGCACCCCATACAATGCATATCCCCAGCTAGAACTACTCTTTGTCCAGGGAAGTGGTGGGGACACCACCTCTGGAGGTGTTCAAGAATCATACAACCATAGAATAGTGAAATCACTGAGGTTGGAAAAGACCTCTAAGACCTCCAAGTTCAACAGTTGACCCACCCCCATCATGCCCTCTAAGCTATGTCCCTCAGTGCTACACCTGCAAGTTTTTAGGGACACGGTTTGTGGACATGGACCAGCTGAACCATTAGACTTGGTGGTCTTAGAGGTCTTTTCCAACCTTAGTGATTCCACAGTTCTATGATTCTGTGCTCCATTGGGTCCTCTGGTCACCTCCCATGAGCTGACCCATGCGCTGGCCACCATGTTGCCACCAACCATGTGGAGCTGACAAAGCCTTGGCTTTACCTGCCCTTCCCTGGACGTGCACAAGGTCAGGCACGTGCCTGAGCAAGCATTCTGAAGGTTTTTCCATTCATAGGAAGTGAAAAAAGGGGAGTGAGAGAGGAGGGGACGAGGAGGGGGAAGGGGAGCGCAGAAAAAAATCTGACAACAGCAGAAGTATTTCTGAATTGAACCATCTTCAGAAATTGCTCTACACAAGAGTTTCTAAATATACTGCCTGAACAACGAAACAGTAGTGTGGGGATGAGTCACAGCAGACCTCCGGCGCCCGGCACGCCACGCAGAGGAGACAACCCCAAGGAAAATAACGCTGGGTCGCAAAGCGCTGCTCCAGATGTGCTCCACCACCGCCTGCTTTCTGCCCAGACCTCTTCTGCCCTGTTCCTCGTGCTCACCTGTTTTGCTCCAGATGGATGGAGTCACTTTTCTGCCCTGCCCCTGGGTCTTGTCCTCATCTGGGGTTATGTGATGGTTTGGATGGGCATGAAACCCCAATTCCCCATCTGGGTGCAGGTCTGGGCATGGCTCAGAGGGCCCTGATCTCTGCTGGGAGCTCTCAGCATCCCCTGCGTGGAGCTGGGAGCTCAAGGAACTGCTTCCCCCACCCCTTCCCACAGACACAAGGCTGCCGCTGCCCCTGCATGCTCTCCTTCTCTGCCTTTCCTCATTGCAAAAGCTTTTTTTCGTGCTTAACGTCAGCATCTCCTGCCATCCGGAGCCATGACCCCTTGGCCCATTCTGGGGGGGGCATCAGGAGTAATTTATTCCTCTGCAGTCACCTTTCCCGTATGTGAAATCTGCTACCGTGCTGCATTTCTCTCTCCTCCAGATGAAATAGCTCTCACCTTTTAATCTGCCCTCATGGGTGACTGTTTGCAGGGCTCTGACCACCTCTGCTGTCAGATAACCCAGCCACAGGCTGTTCCGGCTGTCAGAACCTCCTGCCAGTCCCTTAAATTTTGTTTAGAGCTGACTGGGACAACCAACAGAAGCTTTCATCCTCCTGGAAGCTGCTTGGCTTGCTGCCTTCGCCTAGCCCCATGCTGCACCAACACAGCCCTAAAGAGAGATTTCCTAGACCCCAACCACAAGCTGGAACTTGTAGGCATGCTGACCCTGTGCTCTGTCCTCCCTGCTACCTTCCCCTGCTCCTTCCCATTTCTCCAGGCACATCCAATGCCCCGGACTGATTTCCCACTCTGTTCTAGGAGGAGGAAAATGGAGGGAGAAGAGAGGGATTTGGGGTGCTCTTACTTTCTCTCCTCCAGGTTGGAGTTAGGATTCTTCATCTCCATGAGGGCACAGCCAAATTTCTACAGAGAAGATAAAGGAAAAAGATCATCAACTTTTCCAGTCCCTGTGCAGGACACAAAGCAGCGACTTGGGCTGCATCTTCACCCTCTGCCTGCCATTCTAAGCAGGTGTACTGCTGTTGTATGGGGTGTATGAGGTCATGGCACTCTGGCAAATGGGCTGGTGGCAGTTACGGTGGCATCAGTTGTATGGGATGAATTTAACAACAAGATTGGCTACATCTCACTGGGGAATGCACAGGTATTTCTATTTGGAGGGGACTTAGGCACAGAACTGCTACTGCACAGCACCCAGAGCTTTTGAGGGCTGTCTGAGGGCAGGATGAGCTCACAGAAAGTGACCCTGCCCATGTCCTCCTGGATTTCCAGACTTGCACTGTACTACCTCTCCATTTTCGGGTGGGTCTCCATTGCCAAAGGTGCTTGTGACCACCAGGACCATGGTTTCATGCTCTAGGTGCACGATGTCGTACTCGTCCATGGACATCACCTGGGAGCAACAGAGCTATTAGCAGGAGCTCCAAAGCCGCTGTGATTGCACCACCAACCCCTGGGCCAGGGGCTGGCACTCACCTTAGCATCAAATGCATGCTTGAAGATTTCACACAGGGTTTTTGCATAGACCTGTGACTTCCCCGTCTCTGTAGCATACAGGATGGTTGCTTTGACCCTCTTGGCCATGGCCTGTCCCATCAGCTTGGCTGAGAACTTCACAGCTCTGAGAAGCAAGAGTAAATCCTGGTGAGGGAGCATGTTGCCTTGTCGGCACCTCTAGCCCAAGCTGTTCACACCACATTATTTCTTATTAACAAGCAACCTGCCTTAAGAAACACAGCAACTTTATTCTGTGCCAAGTGGGAGCTATGGAAGAGCTTTGAGCAATGATCTGCAGCATTGGGATGGGCAATGCTAGCTGAAGGATGGGGGGGCTTTTTGTGAGGGATGGAGAAGCAGAAGATTCAGGGACAGCAGTAGGAAGATAACCTCAAAGGGAGCAGCTGGAAAGCAAGCAAGCAGTGCCCAAGCTATGGAGGAGCATCTCTCCATGTCTCTAAATGCCACCTGGCTGGGGGATGTGCACTCGCCCAGCAGAAGCACCCGAGCTCCACACAGCCCCAAGCCACGGAGATGGTCAGAGCTGTCTGCAGTCCCTTTGCTTTGTGCTCCACCAATGCCATGACCTCAGTGGAGCAGCCCTCCGAGGCCACACACTTGTCCCTGTGTTGGCAGAGCTGTGTCTCGCCGGCCGCCTTCTGTGGCTGCATCGTGACTGGGTACGTTTGCTCTGGTTTTCCCTGCAGGCTCAGCTCTGACAGCAGGACAGAGGAGCCGGAGAGGTCACAGCATTGCCAGTCCTGCTGGGGTGATGCAGCACTAGGAACGCTGGCTCCATGTTTCTGCATTACAGGGACAGGGGAGAATGCCGTGGGAAAGTGTGGGGCTGCAGACTGGGGCACTGAGCTTGGTGTGTTATTGTAGGGCCACTCATAATCACTGAGTTTGGGTGGCGGGGCTGGGGCTGCCGTTTGTTCAACCGCTTAGCTCCAATCCAGGCAGTATTAATGGTGAATTGCAAAGATAATTCTTTCTCACCCTGTCCTCCCCCCCGCATTGGGAACAATGGAGAAGATTTTTTTTCAAATTACCTGCCACGCTCACATTTTTATAAAATCATTTATCAGCGGTACACACACAAATAAAAGCTTTGCTCCTCCTGACTCAATGGCTCAATTAATCTCCTGCTCCCCCGGCAGCCCCGGGCTGCAGCCCAGGCCCAGGCACCAGTGTCAGCCCCAGGAGTGCATTCATCAGCTGCTGATCATGGTTATGGATGCGCCATGGAGAACAGCTCCCGGGAGGCGACAGATGAAGAGTGGGAACAAACTGACAGCGGAGGCACGGCAAAGCAAGGTGTGGGGAGAACAACGTGAGGCCACCTGGCAGCCTGGCCACGGGCACCGGGGCAGCCCCAGCCTTGCTGGCCCGCAGGGAAGCGTTTGGATCAGGATCAGCCAAGGCATCCAAAGGATGCTTCATCACAGCACCCCCGCTGGGAGCCTTGGCAGGGGACAGGGACTTGTGTGACCCATAGCTGGGGGTCAGCCAGCCATGGAGAGCAAATCTCAGCTTGGCCCTGAGCCGTTGCTGCCTGCAGGAAGGCTCTTCAGGAATAGGAAGTCCTACTGTGCTGCTCCTTGCAATGGGGTCGTTCAGAGTTCTGGACTTGTGCTGGAGACAAGTGCTCCTTGAGTAGTTAGTAGTGGGAGAAATATGGACACAAATGGCATTTTATTTGTGTCTGCATGGCTCAGGGAGGCTGAGGAAGGAGGAGCAGGTAATAAACTCCCAAGACATGCTAAAGCCATTCCTGAGCACTGAAGAACACCTTTACTGGAGGGCGAACCAGCTTGGGAAGAGTCTGCATGGACCACCCAGTATTCCCTTGGCCACGCCTTCTGAAGGTCTATAGGGATTCTCAAAGGGCTCCTGCTTCTCCAAGCATCCCCCTTCAGCAGCCTGGACCTGAGCTGACAGCCCCTCAGCTTGCTGCCTCAAAGCAGAACCGGCGCCAGGCAATCACTGCCCGCTGTACTTACTTTGCCAACTTCTTAAAGCCGATGGCCCTCTTCTTGGTAGGCGTCCCATTGACTCCCTTCCAGATGTGGGTGTTCCAGGGGTCGGGCTAGGAGGGAGAAGAGCAGCAGCTGTGGGCAGTGCTCAAAGCTTGGAGAGGTGCTGTACCCACTGCATTGAGCACTGAGTTCCCCCAGTTGGAAACGGGAGGACCAGCTGGCCTCTTAACCAGCTTTATCACTTGTACAGCTCCCCAGAGACCTCAGGGGACAGAAAATTACAGTTTAATAAAACCTCGGTGGCTCCTGACAGCATCTGGCCAAGTTCCCTCCCACCTCTGGGACAAGCAGTAACCAGCCACAAGGACAGAGCAGGCAGGGCCAGGAGGGGAGAGGCAATGTGAACACGTCCTTCCCCTTCCCAGCCCACAGGTTTCTTTTTCTAAGAGGCCCTCTGGGAAGGGGAGGCAGCTGAAGCAAGGAACAAGAGCACAGAAGCTAATTCAGTGCCCTCGCAGGCGGCTGTCTGTAATCAGGGCCAGGAATCATCGGAGTTCCTGGTGGATTGCTTACAGAAATGAACAGCCTGCTCCTGTTTTCTGATTGTTCCTTGAGGGCTCTTGACTAAAGGTCACATTGTGTGAAAGCCAGCAAAGCAGAGATGGCTGGCTAATGAGAGAGCATTTGCTTAGGGCCCTTTTTTCCCATGGTCTGAAGTGTTAAATACTCCAGCAGCAGCACTGCAAGCTACTGCTCAGCCTGCTGAGACCTCAGGCAAACGGGAGGTCATTTCAACTCATTCATGGGCACTGCTGCCTGCATGGACAACTTGGTGAGGGGACTGGGTGGGATCCCTCTCATTCCTGCATCCCCCAGTTTCCAAGCCCTGGCTCCCACCCTGCTCCTGGTTATTCCTTTGGGCACACAGAAGGTACCTGGTACTCAAAGGAGGGTGTGAGGCGGTAGTTGAGCATCTCCTGGTGGAAAACTGGGGTGATGCTGCCAGACATGGGTGGCACGATCCACACCCAGTCAGCAGGACAGCCCCCACGGCAGCGGTACTCGTTCTCCATGTGCTTGATGAAGGACTCGGTGGCCGAGTGGTGGTCCACAATGGTCACTTTGTCACTCTGGTGGGGGAGTAGAAAGCAGAGCAGACAACCACAGGTTAATGCTACCCGAAGGGTGGGAGCCAAATGGAGCCATTCTCAGCAAAAGGGCTCAGGCCAAGGAGCAGAGCCTGGGGTGTGCATCAGGTGTTCCATGCAATGGATGGAAATGCTACCAGTGATTAATGCTAGCAATGGCTGAGCAGAAGTTTTCAAAGCTAAGGATGTTCATTTTGGCTTCTGAAGTCAACATTTTTTTCTAAGGTGAATCCAGGAGCCATCCAGAAAGGCTCACTGCCACGGTTCTGCAGGACAGTGGGGGTGACAAAGGGGACTGCTAACCCTGATCTTCCCAATGAGCACAGACACCAGGCAATCCTGCCCTCATCCCTTCTGAGCAGCCATGCTAGGGGACGGGTGCTCCTCCTCTTATTTGACATAGATTGAGCAAGAACCAACGTGGGAAAAATAGTCTGGAGCATCATCCTGCACAGCCCCCTGGAGAGCTCTCAGAACTGCTGGCACAGCTCTGACCCAGCTCCAGGAAGGGCTCCCACTCTCTGCAGTTGAGTGGCCAAGGACCAGTTTTGCTACTCAACCTTTAAGTGCAAGAGTGGGGGAATCTGGGCCTAATTTTGCCTCACCAGCAGGACAGAAGGGGTGAATCTTGCCCTTCGGGGCCCTCCCTCTGCATAAGCAAAGCTCAGGTGATGGTAGTGCTCTTTCCAACATCCAGGGCAGAGAGATTATTAAATTTCACTGCAGGCTCCTGGAACAGCTCAAAATGAGGAAGGCACAGCACAGTTTCAGCTCAGTTTTATCAACTGCTGCTGTCCTTGTGCAGGACTCTCCATACATGTCCCACCTTATCCCTGCATCCCTGCATCCCTGCATCCCTGCAGGCCAGCCCAGGCCTGTCAAACACTGCTGTGCCCGCACCTGGAAGCTGTACAACACAGCGATGTTGATCTCCACCAGGGCCTGATCCTTCCACAGCGAGGAGGTTTTCCTCATGTCCAGGTTCATTTTCTTGGCCACTTGCTGCAAAAAAGCATGGTAGGAGGTGAGCCAAGGAGTGAGGATCTGTGCTTGGGGATAAGGACCAGGAGAGGAAGAACCCAATTGCTATCTATTGCAAGGGATGCTCAGGTGCACTGTCCCTGTGCCCCAGTGACCTCACAGCCAGAAGCATCTGGCCTGTTTGAGGAGGGATTACCTCCAGGATGTTGTAGCGGGAGTTGTCACAGTAATCCCGGACGCCGATCTCTGTGCCCATGTACCAGCCACTGAAGGGGCAGGCGGAGAACTCCAAGCCACCAATCTCAAGGAGCATGTTGGACACCGCGGGCAGACCGTACCACTTCAGGCCCAGGTCCTTAAACCACTCGAACCTGCCAGGATGCAACAGGGTCAGGCAATCAGCAACATTTGGCAGGGGGATCAAGGAGGTATCTTTGGTAGCACCCACTAGGCTAAAGGATGCATGAGCAGAACATCTCCTGGAGAAGGTGTCTACCTTATGGAAGACATTAGGGCTGCTACAGTGTGAAGTAAGTTCTGGGAGACTTCAAGCAAAGAGAAACCAGCCCTGAGACAAGAACACATGCTTTCTACCTCCAGGTCACCTCCATCTGGGAGGAAGGAAGATCTGGAAGCGGGAGTAGTCAAGCACCCAACCATGGCAAGGAGATGCAAAGATGCAAGCCAAGCACAGGAGATAGTTTGTGGTGAAACCAGAAAAGCTGAGCCCTTCTAACTTACTTGGGGTGCCGGATGGGCACTTCCAGCACGAGCTCTGGGGGGATTTCAAAGAGCTCTGGGTCGTTGCCGTTGGCTTGGAGAAGCAGAGGCAGAATATCGAAACGGCCGTACGGTGCCTTCCACCCTTGCTGAATGCAGATCTACGACCAAAACAAAGAGGGTCAGAAGTCCCTGCAGGCCATCTGCTTTTTGGGTGCTGTGAGCAGGGACTCAATCCTTAGGGTTGAGCATTGATCTCCATCCAAGTGAGCTGTGCCATGGGCTTGCCTATCACAACCAACCCATACATGGGAACATTTTTATTCCTGGAAAAATACCTAGAGGAAAACACACCAAGCACCAGAGGGGGAGTTTGATGCACACAGCAGCCCCAGAACCTTCCTGGGATGGCAGAGCCACTGTGTGTCCCCAGCAGCCCCGTGGTGCCCCATGGTGAGGATGTGGTGCCCCATGGCACTGGTACCTCTGTCAGCTCCACGTTGGCAGGGTCCCCCAGGATGGTGCCATCGGGCTGCTTGTAGCCAGCATAGCGGATGAGCTGTGCGTTCCAGATGCGGAAGTCGTGCTTGCTGTCTGTCCGCTGTGGGAAGATGGTGATGGCAGATCTGTGAGGAAGAGGCAGCACTCGTGAGCACCGAGGAAATGGCACAGTACAGCACGGGGAGCATCATCAGTTCCCCAACACCAGGTCACACTCTCCAGCTGTACAGCAGCTGGTACGCATCCCGACGCAGAAACCATGGTGACCCAGTGGTGGCTCACCTGAGGTTCCCTTTGTTGGTGGCATATTTGATGTGATTGCAGATGTAATTGAACATCCCATGGGCTGTGGTGCAGTCTCGAGCATCAAACACCTGAAAGAGTGCAAGCAGCAGTGGTGGTGCTACAGGATGCATGCTGAGCTCCTAAGGCAGAGTCAGGCAGAAGGAACACAGCACAGGAAGACCCACAGGAGGCCACTTTGATATGTTAGGTAGCTAGAGCTCCATAATTATGTGACCCCACCCCCCCTTTATGACAGCTGGACATCTGATCCAGATGTTCCTGCTTTGGAGAGGAGATTCATCTCCTGCTCAGGCAAAAGCTTCCTCAGTGCAGTACTCTCAACCCAGCTCATCCTCTTGCAGCTCTGGTTTCTGTTCTTTCTTGTAGATCATGACTCAAGGCTGAAATTGAGAGGTCTGAAGGACACTGAGGGAGTGAGGAAAACAGAACAGAGGCTCAGCAGTAGGCTTGAAGCCAACATCATACAGAAATGGATCCCCAAGGTTCAGAAATGCTAAAAGAACCAGCTGAAGGCTGCGCTGTTGCTGAGAATTGCTCAACAACATCTGATCTATGCTTTGGGTTTCAAAGGAGCCTACCAGCTCCCTGCCACCAGATTCCACTGGAGATCACTAATTCAGATCCTACTCTAGCTTCCAGCTAGTCTAAATGGCATGGACCCAAACGTCTCCTGCCATAGCATCTCTGCACCACAGGTGCACTTCTCCAGAGTGCCAGCTTCCAGTCGTTTCTCCAAAACCCCAGCATATCCTCTGCAGGCTGTGCTGCCATGGTGCTCACCTGCAGCTTGGACCACTGAATCCTGCCCACACAGCGGGCTGCATTCCTCCAGGCATGCTTTGCACCGTAGATCAGCTCTGTGTCCCGCAGCTGGTAGGTGTCGGTGGCTTCAATCTCCTTGGTCACCTCCTCCAGCCTCTCCATGTGGGCCTTGGAGCCAGATCTGTGTGGGCAAGGAGTGGAGGAGATGGCATTCACCAGTGTGGTTGGAGGGCAGAGTCCTGCTGCTCTCCTCTTGGGAGCATGTACGTGCACACGTGTGTGCCTTCAGATAACAGGTGGCCAGATGCAAATGGAAGAGATCAGTCCTTTGAGTGGAAGCACACAGCAAGTGCTATGAATGCAACTCCATGAAGAAACAGCTGCCCCACGGTCTTTGTGTTGACTTGCAAGAGTGAAAGGTCAGCATGAGCAGCCCCTCCTCTGGCCAGCACTTACCTCTTAATGGAGGAGTAGTACTGATCAATGAAGTCTTTAGCCAGGAGGAGCACCTCCTCTTTTGGCCTGGTGTCTTCTGATTTGCGGACATGCTGGCTGGGGGTCATCACAGAGCCCATGCAGATCTGCTCAGTGCATGCGGTGGTCTGGCAGAACAAAAGGAGGCAAGCATGGTTACATCCAGCTCTGTATTTCAAGCAAAAAAACATCTTAGGAGCACTGTGATCCACTCATCTATGTTCAGATAACTTTTAGGCAGTGCCACCAACCCTACTCACCATTGCCGTCTTGAGATGCAGAGTGTCGTGGAGCACAGAGCCTGTCTCCCAGTTCTTGATTTTGACAAACCGTGGGCATTTGGAGGGGCTGCCATTTGCTGCACTCTTCGTTGGGGACTGCCGCCCCGATGGTGCTGGCTGGGCAATGGAGAAGACAAAGCACAAGGTTAATGTTCATCAAGGGGATGCAAGGAAAAGCCACGACAGCAAGAAGTGTCTCTTGTTAGTGAATGCCTGTGCTTAAATCTTGGTGGCGGTGCAGTGAGAAAAGGTGCACGATCCAAATTATTTGGCAGCATTTGAGAATTTGCAATGGAGCTACTAACTCTCAGTGCAATTGAGAATTCATCTCTGCTCACCAGACAGCCAGACCTGTAGGAGGAGAGTTAAAAAACAGAAGTGACTGAGATGAACACTGTGTTCAAGTTTCCCAGTGGAGGACATACCTCTGTGAAGTGTACGAGATGTATCTTTTTAAGGAGCATCACCTGCTCAGGATCTGCACGTGCCAAGCTCAGCCTCACAGATATGCACCCTCTGAGACAGAGCTAACAACCTCTGAGCAAGCCAGAGAGATATCTGCTTTGATAGCAACGCAGGAAGAACGCAGGAATAAGGACGGATACATTATGCAAGTGGGAGGGCTGCTGAATTATGCATGGTCGGATTACTTCAGTGTCAGCTCTGGATCTCCAGCCCACCTCAGTGCTCTGCGTCAGGGCGCACTCACACGGCACGTCCTGAATTACATGCCAACGTAAGCAAGGGGCTTGGCCAGCAGTGAGCTTTGGCTGCCCCTTCTGCTTGCTAGCACTTGTGTCTGTGCATGCTTTCAGGTCTCATGTGCAGTTCTTGTGATGTGGAGCTCTGCTCCCCCCAAGAACTTGGAAACTTGAAGAGCAGTCTGTGTCTGCTGGGGTATCGTGGCAGGGAAATCTACAGTGGTCCTGGGAAATAGAGACACTTCTTTTGGGAATCACATCTCAAATTCAAGTGTACTTCAATAACTGCTGCTGGAGGTTTTCAAGGGGAAACCTGAGCCCACAGCAGGGCCAAATCCTGCTTGGGTTTGGTGCCCTTTGAAGGCTTGCATCCCTGCAGAACAGGTCTGTGGGCTGGATTTTGATGTAACCTTCTTCTGTGAACTCTGTAGCTATTGTCTTTTTCTAATCCATCCAGAAAGGTTTGCTTGTTTTAAGTGTAGAGGTGGCACTTCTTTCAGATTTTCACTCCTTGTTGGTGGTTCTGTTGTGAAGCGTAGCTCTGGGCTCTTGCCATGATCATGGCTCATGGAGCAGCAGCAGTAAATCCAGTTTTACAGCCCTGGTCCCCAAAGGACCAGGATAAGAACAGCCAGCACACAGTGGAGGAATCTCTTATTTCAGAACAAGCTGCTCTGCTGATGAGCAGACCCAGGGGAAAAGCAGTGGGGGCCAGAAGGATGACAACAATGCTGTTGTACCCAAGAGCACACCATGAACCCAGGTGTAAGACTGAGCCCAACCTTGGAGCAAGAAAGCGCACAGTCCAAGCTGGTGGATATTGGCTGCCTAACAAATTATTCTATTCTATTCTATTCTATTCTATTCTATTCTATTCTATTCTATTCTATTCTATTCTATTCTATTCCATTCCATTCCATTCCATTCCATTCCATTCCATTCCATTCTACTGCACTCTTCCCTATTCTACTCTAATTTATTCTATTCTGTCTTAAATCTCTCTCAAAATGGCTCCCTTTTTGTTGTTGTCTTTCCCCTCCAGATACCTGCAAGGTTTGCATCCTTGCTGAAAGTGGGCCACAGTCCCAGGGTGTGCTGAAGCCCCAAGAAGTGGGGGTACCACACCTCCAACCACGGCACAGAGCAGTGAAGAGTGAGCAGCACCCAGAAGGACCAGGGAAGGACTCCATTGGCGTATGCCTTCCCTGCGCAGCACTGCTGGAGCCAAATATTACTCCAGCTTCTGCCAGGGAGGCTGTGCGTGATGCTGTCATGTTTTAATTAGGCAGCTGTGATACCAGTGACTCAGGAGGGGCGGTTAGGTGCACGTCGCAGCAGACATTATGCAGCACCTTCCATGGGCAGCATGGGCACTGATAGGGGAGTGCAGCTCACAGGCTCTCTGCAGCCTTTAAGGAACTCTTATGAACTGGAGGAACACACTGGGTGCTGCCTGGATATAGTGGGGCTGGAGCGTTTCCTCCTAGCCTGCATCAGCCCACTGGCTGAAAATGTGTTCTTTGTTGTTATGGAGCTGTAAATCATCCTCACAGGCACAGAGCTGGTGCACGTCCCTTCCTTTGCAGCCTGTGCATCCATCCCCTGTGCCGTCCTGGGGCTCCAACAAATTAATCCGCATGGCTGCAGCACAGCACTCCTGCTGGAGTCAGTGCATCTCCCTAGGGCTTAGGGCTCCTGGGAAACAAGCACAGCACACGTTGTGGTTTTGCAAGAAAACCCAAAGTTCAGACCCAGAGAAGGGATGGATGCCCAACTGCCTTTCAGTACCTTATTACAAGCATCAGTGAGCACTGCCCACCTGGCTGAGCAGCTCCAACAAATCCTGCCTTAAAGCTCTTAGAAGTAGCTGGGGTTTGGCTTGATGTGAGAAGTTCAGCAACGTTCCCACTGCCCTTTCTGGCAGCGAGAAGCAGCCCTGCCTCCAGAACAGTGCTGGGATGAGAGGGATCAAAAGAGAGCACGCACGTTGAGCGGGAAGGAAAATAAAGAGTTTAACAGCAGCTTAAGTCTGGGGATTTTGGCAGCCTGAACATGGAGAGGAATTAAGCTCTGAACACAGAAGGTTATAAAGTGCTTATAGTAACAGACACATCCACGCATGGAGCTTAGTGAAGGAGGCAGAGTGGTTGTGGTTTCCAGAAAGGGAGCACAGCAGTGACCTGTCCCTAGGAGCTGACACTGAGACCTGCACACTGAGCATGGGGGACACCAGGGCTCTCAGGGACATCCATCCATCCACCCGTGGGACAGCGGGGCAGAACATAGAGCGGCGATGGGGAGTGGGTTGAGTGTTAGTGAGAGGTTCTGCATGGTGTTCATGGCACAGCTCCACAGAGCAGTGGGCACGGACCAGAGCTGTGGGAGCTCAGGGAGCACTGGGACACCACTCTCAGCCATAGGGTTGGGTTTGGGTTGTTGCATGGGGGGCCAGGAGCTGGATTCAGCAATCCTTGCGGGTTTCTTCCAGCTCAGGATGTTTTCTGGTTCTATGGTATAATCCTATGAGCATTGCATGGCAGCTCATTGGAGCTGGGAAGAGGCACCAGACAGAGGAATTTGCTGAGGGCGTTCCTGAGCTGAGGGAATGCTGATTTTCTCAGAATTTTCTCAGATTTCATGTGACCATGAAATCACTTTGTTTCCCTCCCTTGGAGAACACAATGTCATCCTGATAGGGAGAGGGCGGGCAAGAACACACAATCCCTGGTTTGGTCCCCATGTCCTGACCCATGGCTGGTTAATCCCAGCGGGACACACACTTGACCACGCAGGCTGTGCCATGCTCACGCAAATCACATTGTCCCTGGGGTAATTCTGCCTCTCCCTGGCTTCGCTACAAGTGGGAGTTAATCCATTTCTGGCAAGGGAGCCTGAGAATTTATGTCCATGCAGCATCAGGAGATGAAAAGGTGCGGTACAACACGTAATCTGAAGTGCTGTGTTGAATTGCTGTCATATAAATCAGAATGACCTTAACAACGAGGCTCAACTTTTTACCTATGAAAGGGACAATGGTCCCAAAGGAGATTTGGGAGACATGTCCTGGCCATGCTCCCACTGCACCTTGGCACTGTGGATGAGGGGCACCCTTCCCCTGCCCAATCTATAGGGAATTTGGCTGCTGGACCAGATGGGCTCAGTACACTATCAGCTCTCAGGACCAAGGATCCTCATGACAACCCAAACAGTCCCTGAAGGCCATCCGTGGGGTGAGAGCCTGCCAGAAGGGTCCCTGCTCCACCACCCATCCCCTCCCAAAGCAGCACAAAAGGCGGGTGCTTACCTGCTCTGCTTCAGAGTAGGGGTTGTTGAGGACCACGGGCGCATTGCTCTTCCCCCACAGGTCACCAAAGACACGATCGTTCTCCATCTGAGCTGGGAAGGCTGTCTGCAGCTTGTTCTCCCCTTCCCTGAAACTGGAGGGTTAAAACCAGTGGGGTGAGCAGGCTGGGGATGAGTTGTGATTGCTCCGAGTTCTCATGGAGCAACTTCAAACAGGAGCAAAAACTCACAAGTTGTGCTGAGGGAGTGGAAGGAACGCTCTGCCTTGGCCAAGAAGATGAATCACCTCTGCGAGGGAAACCAAAGCACAACTGCAGGAGACCTGCACCTGCTTGGTGCCCTGCAGCGTACCACACCAGCCCCAGTGGGATTATGTGAGAGACTGCCCGAAAGAAAGCAAGAGAGCAAACAAAGAGTTTGGAGAAGGAGAGTCGTGCACATTTCTAGCCTTGCAGCAAAATCAGATGTGTTTGCAGACAGCGGTTGGTGTTGATGAGTGGAGGAAAAGAAAAAAATCCAAGGAAAAGTCGGTGCTCCCAGGAGGGAGAGGCAGCGCTCTCTCCTCTCCCTGACCTTTACGGATGCTGCAAACGCTGGCGGGTGCGAGCGGCTGTACCTGGGTGGATCTGTGCAAACAAACAGGCAGCCCGCCCACACGGCGCACATCTGTAAGTCTGGGGACAGGGACGTCCCCGGTGCCGCTGCCCCTGTCTGCACAACACGACTGATGGAGCTCACTGCACCATGTCTGCCTGCGTGCTTTGTCTGGGGACCGTCTGCAGGGTGTTCGTGAGGCTGCTAAATGCCATCCAGGCAGCGGATGGAAAACCACCACCATACGAACCCACATAAAAGAGAAAAACAAACAGAGTCTGGGAGATGTGAGACCCAGAGCGCGTGGGCTGCAGCATCCATGAAGGCACTGACAGCCCCAGTGATGCCACGCTTGGGCAGGAGTTTCTCAGCTCCATAGGTTGTGCTGCACGTGGCCACGGATGGGTCCAGCACAGCGTGGTGCTGCTTTGCCCTTCCTCAACAACCCGACTTGCTGTGAGCGCTGGCAATAGTAGCGCTCCCACTGTCAGTCCTTAAAAAGCTTCCAGATGTCTCTAAAGTCAATAACGAGCCTTCCCATTAACAGCAGCGGGCTCTGGCATCGACCGAAGCAGGACGTGGTGCTCAGGACATGATTCACAACAGCACGGTGCTCTTGACACCATCTCGAGGAGACACATACGCACAAACAAATCCAGTCTCATGACCTCCTTCACCCTCAGCTTGGGTGAAGCTTAAGCAAAACACTACACTTAAAGGCTATCTCCCTGCTCTCTAACTTTTCAGCAATTTTTCTGCATTTACAGCATAACATTCAGCTGCCAAGATACCACACTAGGCTCCTGGACATCTTCCAGACATTGGCTGCCTTAGGGCGAACATGGTCAGTGCCCTGCATGAGAAGGGTACAAGTGTCATCGGGGCAGTCTGTACCCAAATTTGTGCCCCCCAACACCAAAAAAAAAAAAAAAAGGTGGTGAGAGAAAAGAAATTTGCTGTATGCTTTGCATCAGGACAAGCATCTTTGCTTTTCCAAACCGTATACCAACCTAGAGCAGGTTGTTGGCCGTTCTTGATGCTGCTGGGGACCAGCACAAACCACACACTCTGTGCTTTACCAGCCCATCAGGGTCACTGGACACATCCCCTCTATGTAGGGGATTCCCAGCAGCAGGACAGCATCATGAAATCCCATCAAATCTGGCTCTCCCAGCAAGACAATCCCAGCTGCTAAACCTCCTGGAGAATATAGGGAGGTGAGGGATGCCTCATCCCAGCAGATACCCAAGGTCAGGCTAGATGGGGCAGTGAGCACCTGATCAGCTGTAGGTGTCTGTTCATTGCAGGGGGGGTGGACTAGATGGCACTTAAAGGTCCCTTCCAACTCAAACAATTCTATGACTATGTGATTCTATGGATACCCATTTCCAAAGCTGCACATTCCTGCCCCCTTATCCTGAGCCCCAAGACATCAGAGAGCATGAAGGTTGATGGACACAGAGCCTGTGAGCATAACAAATGATGGGCATGCACAAAACACCCTTCGTAGCCGATGAACCTCCATGTCCTCCTCCAGGCACAGGCTGGTACCTGTGCCAATGGCACGGAGGATGGCCAGATGCTCAAATTAAGTCATCGTCATAGTCAGCCACTCTGTGCATTAGAATCATGGAATCATTCAGGTCAGAAAAGATGTCTAAGATCCTCAAGTCCAACCCAACCGCACTGTGCCCACTGACCATGTCCCTCAGTGCTACATCTCCACACTGAGCACCTCCAGGGACGGTGACCCCACCACCCCCAGGGCAGCTGTGCCACTGCTCCTGGGAAGGGAGAGTAGACAGAAGCAGGGAGGATTTGATGAAGAAAAAATATGAGATGCACCATCTCACAGTGCGATCCATGCAGTCATTGGGGTTGGGCGCTCAGAGCTCCGTGCCCTGTTGCACATTCGCACCTGGGACAGCACCAGGTTGCACGTTGCTGTTTTGGCTTGCACTCGCAACAAAGTGGGATCTATTGCAGAATCTGCAGTGAAACCATCAGCTGAAGCTGGTGCTGGCTCTGGTGGGGGCTGCCCCCACAGCACAGCAGTTGTGCCCTGGCTGAGCAAGAACAGATCTCGCTGGTTTACTCACAAGTATCCGGCTCTTTCAGGGAGAGAAGCGAGGAGAGAAAAGCCCATTCAGAGCCTTGCTCCAGTCCTAACCCAGATGGAGGGAAAAAAATAAAACAAAAATCAATAGCTTCATTTTACAAATATTTCCTGCCCGTTCCTTGAAGCTGCCCTGTGTGCAGGCAGCAGCGGGGTCTCTCAGACCCACTGTTTTCCTCCCTTGGCCCCATCCCCGGGGTGAGCTGCCCACACAGGATGCTCCTGGCCTGGAGACCCGTGCCAGCCTCCAGGCAGTGCTTCCAATGCGCTCAAAACCTGCACACTTGGATTGGAGCAGGATTTTGGGAAGGGACCTTCATTTTTTTCTGTGGTTCTGAAAGTAAAATGACTGCTTAAAAAAAGGCAGAGGAATCCTGTCCTCCCCCAGCCGCGCAGATTGCTGTCTCACCTCGGAAGGAGCATCTGGCTGTTTGGGAAAATGAGAGGCACCACTGTTTTCTTTTGACTAATTTGATGATGTTGCAGTGCTCGGAGTGATGAAGCAGAAAGGAAGTTGCTGAGAACAGCCCTTTGAGAAACATCTCCAAAGCTTTTCCAAAAAGGAAGGAAAAAAATATAAATATATGAGCAAAAAAAAAAAAAGAAGTTTGTCACTCGGCTCCTTTGAATTTGCTTGGCAGCAAGCTCTCTGATTTCCCAGGCAGAGATGAGAGGCACAACTGGCTGCTGCCATCCCCAGGGGCCAATTTGGGTGAGGTGGTGGGGATGGCCGCACACTGGGGGCTGGAATGCTATTGAGACATGGCTCCATCCAAGCCAAGGTGCCAAAATTTTGGGGCCCACGTGGGACGGTCACCCACACACAAGGGAAAGGACCACAGCCCCACTCGTTACAAGAGCAGTTCTCAGGGTCAAGGCACCCAGTGCAGGAACTGGGATGAGTGGAGCAGGGCTTCAAAGGAGTGCCGTGCCATAGGAGAATGCTAAATGGGGTTGAATGGGTGCTGGCAGATAAAGACCTGGGAAGAGATTGCGATGCCCCAGTTAATCCCAGCATCATTCAAGCCAATGTCAGGCATGACCCACAGCTGTCCTTGTCCCCTTCCAGCCATGCTCAAAGAGCACCCAGAGGAGCTCAGCCTCAGTACCTTATCTGCAGCCACATGCAAGGTACCAAGAGCCCCCCTGGGAGAGCCGGGCGCAATCAGCGTGGTGAGGAGGAAGGGTTGCAAGGGGAGGAAGGGGAGGGCTGCTCGCTGCCAAGGCTTTGAGCTTCACCATGTCACAGAATGCAATCACATGATAGTCCCAGGGAACCTTTCATTTCAGAGGTTTTAAAGTTTTGTGTCCAACTGCAGAATAATGAAGACATCAGAAATGCAAATGGAATGTTTTGAACAACACAAAGAGATTTTGGCGGCAGCGAGGGAGGTGGGAGGAAGAGAATTTTCTCGTATAGAACTGCAAAATTACGGGGTTTATTCCAATGCAGGATGGAGCCTGAAACCTTCGTAAACAGAATCCCTGCTCCCAGCACTCTGCTCCCTCCCAGGCCCCCACACTGCCATTTCCATCGTGCCACTTGTGGTAGGGAGCTGACCTGAGCAGAAAAATAAATCACGGCAACTCGGCGGGGTGGAGAGGGAGGAAAGATGGGACATGACAATCTCCCCAGAGCTCAGAGGGAAAACAGACCTAGGTTCGCTGGCAGGGAGTGAATCAAACTCTATTTTTATTTTCTAGCCCACGGTGAGCCTCGTGGCAGAAATGCCAGCTCTCATCATACCTTGCTCCCCACTTCCACGCTGATTTATGACCGACCTCACGGCAGACAGCTCCAGCCACAGAGCGGACGTTCAGCCTTGGCTCATCCCATGAGCATGCACCATGTCCACGGGGCACCTCAAACTGGGCAAGGAGCTAAGGATGGGTCACTGCAGGAGCACAGACCCTGGCTGCAGGGGTTGAGGATGAAACGATTTTTTTTTTTTTGCTATGCGAACTTCCCGTCTTTCTTGCGAGAAGCAGTGCTGAGATCCTGCAGCATCAGGTGTAATCCTCGTCTCTTTCAGCAAAGCCCACCTTGAGCAGGAAAGATTCTGCTGCTCACAGATAACCTCAGCCCCGTGCTGCCCCTCCATGCCCTGGGAAAGCTGTCAGAGCTCAGCAGCCCGAGCGGCTCTGACAAATGCTGCGGGCAGTGAAGGTCAGCACCAGGCAAGGATGGAGATGGAGCAGGGTGGGGCCCGGGACCTGGATTGATGGCCAAGGGGTTTGGGCTGCGGGTCTGGAGGTCAACCTTGGGCAACGGTTTGCACCCTCCTGATAATTAGTTAGAGCCCTATTGCTGTTTTGATTAATGTCAGCTCCGCTCATTCCCCCCAGCCTGGAGAAACCCCTGCCCGCAGCACCATCAATCCATCAAGACTCACTTCGTTTTGAGCATTTTTTTGGCATCGACCAACACATCTTTCCGCTCTCCATCAGTCCCTGATCTTCCTGCACATCTCCAGACCAAGAAAACTCTCCCTGCAGAAGCCCTTCTCAATGCCGAGCTCTGAGACCGAGCAGAGGAGGGGACACATCCGCAGCAGTGGGTGCGGACTGCCCTTTCCCTGCAGCACAGCTCCCAACAAATCCCCCCCAGCACATCCCCCCCACCCAGCTTCTCCCATTCTGCCACAGGAGCAGGGTTGCAACTCCTCATCAGGCGGAAGATTGAAGGCTAATTTCGATTGAAAAGTGGATTTTCAATTCCAAGCCACTTATATAGATTTTTAAAGGGTATTGGAAAGTGAATGAGTTGAGCTTTGAAGTACCCACTTTGTTAATATTTTTGTTGGTTTGAGGTCCTTCAATTTCGGTGAGTTTAGAGTGCTTCAGTTTAATCTCTTCAAGAGTAGAAGAGATTCCTCAAAGAAAGAAAGAAAAAAAAAAAAAGAACATTTTTCATTTCCCACAACCAGAGCAGAATTTCCTTGGTGGAGATATGGCTGTTGGGCTGGGGACGAGGGTACATGGGGAGCTGGGGCTGCTCCATGCCCCCAGGGCTTTGCTGGGACACCACAGCTGTCCCAGTGAAGAAACGCTCTTGGAGCACTCTGATGTGCCTGGGACTTGGGTCTTTACATCACCCATCAAATCAGCACAACATGCTATTTATTTCCTAAGCCTCCCCAGCTCCCGCATCTCCCTTTCTTCTGCCACCTGCTCCAAATTTTCCATCTTTTCATCTATCCCTCACAACAGCTTCCCCTCTTTCCCTGCATCCCATTCCCATCCCGCTGCGTTGTATGATGATTTTGGGAGCCATCCACCAGCACCTCCACCACCAAACACCAGCACATTGCACCCAAGGTAAAAAATGTATGCAAGGACCTACCAGTCCACCTGGACTTCTATATCCCTTGTCTCTACCTTGCAGGGCACATCTCCACCGCCGTCCTTACTGCTGCTCTTCAGGAGGTCCAGGACAGGCTCAATCTCCTTGAGAAGCTCGTTGTCTTCCACTCTGCCATTGAGACAGAGGTGGCTGCAGGCGCTGTCTTTCCCCTTGTTGCCATCCTGCCCTTTGGGGCCGGTGACCAACCCGTTGACATGGACCACGGGCTCCACTTCCCGCCCCGTCTCCCTGGTCCAGAGAGAACCCATGGCCGCGGGCAGCTCCTGGCCGTGGAGGTTGGGGTTGGACAACTCAACAGCTCTGGGTGCAGGGCAGAGGGGCCGGGTGACACGGATGGTTTTGGGCGTCCCGTCGCCTGCAAAGGTGGTCTCCAGGTGAGTGGTGAAGCCCTCGGGGCCGCGCAGGATGAGCACCACGTAGGTCTCGGAGGCAATGCTCCTCAGGATCTCCAGCGCGCTCTCGTAGCTGGTGTCCACCAAGGGCCGCCCATTGACAGCTAAAATGATGTCCCCAGCCTGCACGAGGCCGCTCTGCTCAGCAGCTCCTCCCCGGATCAGGTCGGAGACGATGACGGGCGGCTTGCTGACGCGCTCCTTCACCAGGAAGCCCAGGCCCCCCACCTTGCGCTTGAACAGCCTCACCGAGATGACGTTGGGCTGCAGCTGCTGCACGCTGAAGGCGTTCTCCTCCATGGCAGCCACCTGCAGGCTGGGAGCTGGATGCTGAGAAGCGGGGCGCGATGGGGCTTTGAGCACCTCGTCTCACTGCAGCACACCTCGGGGCTCTGTCTGCAGCATCCTCGCAGCAGGTGTCAGCAGGGTGAGGGGCAGCGGGGGCATCGCTCAGCGAGCATCAGGCAGCAGTTCAGTGTCAGGTCCTGCAGAGCATCCCGTGAGCTACTCAGGCTGCGGGTGGGCCAACAGCTGCTTTATCTAGGGGAGAAGACAACAAAGAGAGAAGAAGAAGTGACATGGGGTAGATAGAAAGTGCCACAGACACCCACATGGAGCAGCCCAGCCCTGCAGATATCAGCCACCAGGCTGCAGCCTCTCACAGTCCCATGTTTGCATTCCCTCACTCTCCTGCAGAGCAATCCTCACTGCCTGCTCAGGAGGGGATGGAAAGGTGAGCAGGGAGCTGGAAGGGCTGCAGGACAGCCCTGTTCACACCCTGCCCTCCCTTCTCCAGGAGCAGAAATTCCTGAACACGCAATGCAAAGCAGAGCAGTGTGGAGCTCCACAGGGTTCTGCTGGAGATCTGCCTATGTTTTGCTGAGCGTCTCCAACCCGATGCATGAGATGAGTCAGGGGGAGTGGGATTCACACCCCTGCCCAGGGCACAATCTGGCCCATAGGCACCTTCCCACTGAGCCCATTTCAGTGCACCAGGAGGGAGGGCAGCAGCCAGTAGCAGAGGGAGGTGGTAGGAAAGGACAGTCAGCTCCACTCACCCGGGCTCTCACTGAGCTATTTGCACTGACAGGCGTTTTAAAGCCTGCCTGATGGGATCGCAGCTCAGCTCCTCCTCTCCCCATACTCTATAGCACTGAGGTATAATGTAGGGCTCCCCCGAGCCCAACAGCTCCTCACAAGCTGCCTGCACTGGTAGCAAGCCAACCCCAATGCCTGGGGGCCCTGTGCATCTGGGCACAACTGTGCAGTGCCCACGGGTCATTGGCTGCCAATGGGGCTGTGTGCTCAAACTGCTAATGGCAGCTCCCAAACCCACTCTGTGTTCCTCTGTCATTTCTGAGGTGCCCTGGAGATGTTTCTCTCCGGAGCTGTGCTGTGGTGTTTAGCAGCCAGCTGAGATGCAGATGGTGCTTCTTGCTAAACCTGAATTCTGGGGAGGAAACGGAGGGCACTAGGTCTGCAAACTGAATGCACTGATGTAGCAGAATCCTCCTGATCCCACAGAGGCACCACAGCGGGGATGTTTGCACCCTCAGCATCACCAGCTGTGCCCGAAGGACCAACTCCTTCCTTCTCTATCCCATCTCCACATCCCCAGCCCCACATCTCCAGCACTGAGGGAGTCATCAGGATCCCAAATCCTGAGCAAGTCTGAGCCATGCAGGATTCATTTCCAACACGATGTAGGAACAAATGGCTCTGAGAGCTGTGTGAGCAGCACTCAATGCAGGGCCACCAGCCTCCCCTGCCATGGGGTCAGCCCGGTGTTTGCTCTGCGTTAGTCACTGCTGCAACAGTGCTTACAGACCCCATGCAGTGTGCTCACAACGAGCCCAGCGCTGCGTTCGCTGCCCCTTCTGCAAGGATAAGTCCCCACGGCCCCAGAACATGCTGCCCTCTGTGCTCAGTGCTGCGTTTCTACCGTGGGGCATGATTTAGATGAGCCCCAGAGCACCAACTCCATGCGATGTCTCAGGGAGATGCTGTGCTGGCGGTGTGGGTTGTCGGGCTCGGCGCTGCCTCCAAGCACCATTAGCAGCCTGATTTATGCAGCCGGCAGCAGCAGCAGGTGTGTCAGGTCGGGCGTTCAGAGCTGCCGTCTCAGTCCTTCAAATCAGCGGAGTGAGTGGTGTCACTGAGCTCTACTTGCACGGAAATGTATTTCAGCCTGGAGAGGGGCTGTTGCTGTGTGCCCCCAGTGCATTACACATCCTCGGCTGGGCAGTCTGACTCTGCCTCAGTTTCCCTCAACTTGAGGGAAGCCAACTTGAATTCCCAGAAGGCAGCAAGCTTTCCCTGCAGAGCTGCAAGCTTTCAGAACCTCATTGCAGTATTACCGAAGCATTAACTCCCTCCAGTCTCAACATCCACCTGTGCAGCTGTGCCTCATTTTGTGGGCATTCACCAGTGCAAGAAGAGCTGCAGCACATGTACCCCTATTGCAGGTGTAGGGGCACGGTGTAGCTTCAAGGGCGCTCGCATAAGGAACAAATCATGAAATCATTAAGGTAGGAAAAGACCTCTCGGATACCCAAGTTCAACTCCAGCCCAACCCCACCGTGCTCACTGACAGTGTCTCTCAGTGACACATCTCCACGTTCTTTAAACACCTACAGGGATGGCAGACCCTACCACTCCCTGGGCAGCCTGAGCCACTGCATCACCACTTTTTTGGAGAAGAAATTGTTGCTAATACCCAGTCTGTCGCTCCTCTGGCACAGCTTAAGGCCATTCTCTCTCATTCTATTGCTGCTACCTGGGAGCGTACCAACCTCTACCCCACCACAGCCTCCTTTCAGGAGTCGTGGAGAGCAATAATGTCTCTTCTAAGCCTCCACTTTTCCAGACTGAGCCATCGCAGCTCCCTCATCTGCTCCCCATAAGACATGTGCTCCAGACCCCGCACAGCTGGGGTCCCTTCACTGGACATGCTCCAAAAATCTTACGCAAGCCAACAGAGAAAAGCATTCCGAATGACCAGATAACATTCCAAGCAACAAACTCCAGCACATGCCTTAATTGGTGATTTGATTTAAAAAGCAAAGCGGAGGGGAAATAAATCTCCTTCCCTTAAGCACAATCCATTGCCCATCACAGCCACAACCTGCGGGCTGGGCAGAGCCAGCGTGGACCCAGAGCCTCTGGCGTGGGCAGCCTGCATGCCCCTGCCCTCGCAATGCGATTTCAAGTCTTGTCTCTCGTAAATCATCACTGCGGTAATGGCTCACATTTCTACGTGCCAGCTTTAAATGGACACCATTGTCTTATTTAATTAGTTTTCGTGGGATTTATGCCGCTCAACGCAGAACCCCAGGGCTGATGGATTTATGCCCGTTTAATTTTTACAACCCGTGGAGCGTCAGTGACTCTGATGAGGAGCAATGGGATGCAACATATGCACAGTTACTGTAAACCGGCATGTTTGTGCATCTGAAAATGGAGCATTAAAGTGATTCACTGGCAGGCAGCTCGCTCATGCCAGCCCTTCTGCGTGCTCAGACCACATCGTACCTGCGTGCACGGCCCTTCCATCCACTTCCCTCCAGCCCTCCTGATGTCCACACGCAGCTGCTGCTGAGCTCCACACCCCTGTCCTCCATCCCATCCCTACTGCTGGGATCTGGGGCACTGCATTAGCTGCACCTTCCTGACAAACCCAATTTACACCAGGTGTGAATTGAATCATGGAATTGTTTTGCTGCTCATACAACAGCCCCCTGGCAGCACCCAGCTGCAGGGCTTTGTTTTAGGGAAGGCAAATGTTTATGCATTTTCTCGTCACCACAAATCTGAGCTGAAGCCCCTGGCCTTTGGGCAGCCCCAAATCCCTTTGACCTGCGTATTTACACAACCACTGCCTTTGGTGTTCACCCAAACCATCCCTCTATAGGGAATTAAACAACCAAAGGAAGCCTGATCCACTCTGTGCCTCCCATGTGCTCCATGTCCCTGTCACCTCAGTGCCACCAAAACATCACCATGACCTCGCTGTGATTTACCTGCACCCTGCCCCACCTGGTGCCCCACACTGGGCAGGAGGCTGCGAGGTGATCGGTTCCAGTGTTGCCAAGACAACTCTGTTGACAAAATCCCTTCTTTTTTTTTCTTTTTTTTTTCTTTCTTTTTTTTGGCTGACAGAAACCCGGTTTTGTTTTAATTTGGAGTTCAAGGCTGAACATATTTCCGTAGCACGGCTGCCGTTTCTATTTTACTGTTTCGTACAATATTTTCTTGGCGCCTGCGGTGTGCACTGAAACAGAGTTTAGATAAAACCGTCAGTTCCGCCACTAACCCCGTCGCAAACTGATGTTCCTATTAGGGCTCGGCCCATCTGCAAAGCATAAATTTCACCACGATCAATTTGCCAAGAGGACTGGAGTTACACCAGCGACTCCAGTGTGACAAATGAGAGCCGTGTTAACACAACAACGCTTTGTCCTAAATGACAAAATAGGTAGATGGGAAATAAATGAGAAAATACCGTGTGATGGATGGCACTGAAACCCAATCCCAGCACGAGAGAGGAGTCGTGGCTCCATTTGGAATAAAAGAAAAAGAGAATCTGAAATTGCAGCAGGTTGGCTCAGGCTGCAACTCCTGAGCCGTCCGCATCGATGGGGCCACTGCTGGGAGTGAAGCTCCCGGCTCAGTGCTCCAATAATGTTGGTCACCCCTCCAGGACACTGAGTGGGAACTCACCTCATTGTCACCACCTTGCACCAAGACTGCTTTGTGCCACTATTTACAAACCTCTGAAAAATATCGGGCTCTGAGCTCCTGGTTGCACCATCCCTTGGGTTTTCCATCAGCACGTGTTGCCATAGCACCGACAGCGGCAGCAGTGCTCTCCTGGGACACATCCCTTGTCCCACGGAGGGCTCTGGCTCTGATTTGAGCATGATTGGGGTGGGGGGATGTAGACTTTTCAGCTTCCAGCATTGTGCTGTGGGTGCTGCCCCAATGCTCATCTCCCCTACCTCGTGGGACAACCCTGTGCTGCCTTTGGCTGAAGCACCCCAATGGGACCAGTGCCTTCAGCTGAGACACAGCTCGGTGTACTGAGGGATGAAGGGTGAGTTCTGCTCAGAAAACAGCCAGATTTTATGGCTCTAACAGCAAGGATGGGCTGTGTGCTTTCAGCGTGTCTGAAAGCATAAGCCCGAAAGTCTGCAAAATGGGATTAAGACAAGCCTGCCCTAGAAGGGTACTGCAGGATCTCATAAAGCATTTCGGAATTGTCATGTAAAAGAGGGGCTATAGAAAGAGTTGTATTAGCATAAATACCTCCAGTTTTATCTACACACATGCAGCACTTGCAGGCTTCAGTGCTCTGCATATGGATCAACATACTGATAGCATATGGGCTTTGCAGCCATATATCTATACAGCATGTTGCTGGTTCCCATGGCCATACCCAGAGCTCCGGGTGGGTGCTGGTTTACCTCACATTGCAGCTGCCTTGCAGGGCTTGGGCTCTGGCATCACACAGCCCAGCGGGGCTCCTGTGGGAGAAGCAGATGGAAGCGAACGTGCTTTCATCCAGCTCCAGTCACAGACAGTGGCTTACAGCTCCTTCTCTCCTCGGGACACAATGTGTTTATTTTTGG